GATGACATTGGCCACACTCACCAATGTACCACTAGCAAATGGGGGTTGCTCACCCAACTCCCATGTCAGTTGGGAAATTGCCTTCGTGGTTCCCAACCCACTTGGCTTCCGGTTGTGAAGCCGGGGGAAACCGAAACTTTGGTGCATTTTGCTTGGATGTTAGGACTTCAACTTTTTGCCAACCAATGGGTTTTCCGTATTAAACCACTAAAAGTTAGCCACTTTTAGCAGGGGAGCAGAAAGCAACCGAGACAAGAAAGTTCACCCATGATTTAGGTCCTTTACTTGGCTAGGTCCCCCAGTAGTGCCCTTTTACCGTTTCTTTTTTGGTTGGGAGGGTTCCCCTACTAGAATAGACTGCAGAAAAAAAATCGTTGGTACCCCGAGGCGAGCGTCTCCCTGCGGCTTGCGAAGAGCCCAGGTGCTGCACGTGCCGCCGCGCTCGGCCCCGCGGAGCAGTTTTTTCTCTTCCGGGGCTATGGGCGTGGAGCCCAAGCGATGGCCGAGGCGCGACGTGTCAGTCCAGGTGTTTGGCATCCATTTGCAGAAATGAATATATATATATATATACATACACATATATATATATATACATAGTATATATACATGTTTGTTTATATTCTTTTGGTTGGTTTTAGAGGGACCTATCACTGTTGGTGGGCTTCAGCACATGGAAGATAGGCTTTAGAGGATGCTTACCATGATTATGAGCTAGGTGGTAGCCATCATACCTCCGAAATCCCTCTACCTGAAAATGCCTGTGACCCCAACAGCCACGGTTGGCTTGTGTGACTCGCTGAATGGGTTCTCTCCGGGAAATCGGAGACAAAAGGAACGCGCTAAACGGCATGGTTTGGGGTTGGTGACCTCGCACTCCCCGAAAAAACCTGCGATCTTTTTTGGTTTCGGACCATTTTTAGTGGTAGACAACAAGTTTGGTTGTTTTTTTGGGCAATCCACTCAGGAAGTGAGATGTTGAACACTTGCAAAAGTTGTCCGAACCATATAGGAATATATTGGTTCCAACACCCAACAAATCTGGCCTTGGTCTGTGCTCGAAACCATGTTTGTCGGGAGCCAGTTCATACAAGCCAACTTCCCCCAAAAGCATTGCAAGCTTGCACATGTTGCCAGCTGCTCGCACACGTTCCCAACCAAGACAACATGTTGCTCGCAGACGTTGCCAGCTGTTGTTGTGAATTTCTGACCAAGCTCAATCGAAGCCCACAGGAGCAAATTTCTGCACTGGATGAGCAAGCCGTATCAAGCCCAAGTAAGGCCCGCTAAAGCTGGAACGGTGGAGGGAGATCCTTTCAGTTTTGTGCGACCAATCTAGGGCCAGGGGCGCTTTGGGGAAATCGATTGGTCGTGGTTTATGCAGTTGAAATTGCTTGGGGACACTACTTCTATGTGCCAAAGGATACGAGCGGTATGTCAGCAGCGAGCCGAAGAACGCTTCAATCTTTGTCACAGATGCCTGGCAGACTGGGCGCTAAGTAGCATATAATGTATTTTTCTCCCTGATGAAGGAAGACAAGAGGGGATAGGTCAATGGTTTTTTCTGCAGACCCCCCATTCAGCTCCCAGCAGGGCTTCTAAACAAATGACGAAGCAGAGACCAGGCCAACTCTGGTTTCACATTTGTGGGTCTCAAAGCAGCGGCCCCCGAAGACTCAGTGTTGCTTTGGTTTTGCTGTCGAGCCGAAACAAAGGGTTTGCCTTCATGAAAAGACACACACACACACACACAGGTCAAAATTAGTTAACCCAGCGAGGGTGCCTTAGACACATGAACTGACGCCGTACCTGAGGCCAGAGCAGTGGGGTGGTTTCACCTTCAGACATGCCGGTGCCGACCTATGTGCGCGGATGCTCAAGGGGAGAGGATGGAGTCGGCATTGGGGGTCTCACTGAACTTCAACCGAAGCCAGGGGGCACTCCAAGTGCATCGTGTTGACAGGGTCTCGTAGCCCGCGGTTTTGTAGTCTTGTGTTGGTTGGGCTTGGGAACTGCCCACATTGACAGCAGAACACGGGGCAACTGGGGTTGGTTTAAAGGAATACCAAAAGAACAACCACCATTTTGGAGGGTCCCCTTTAAAAAGACGGTCGTGACGTGGGGTTGCCCGAAGCAGACTGGTGGAAACAGCCAGGGCAACTTGCTTTAGCGGCCCTGACAGGGGGAATTCAAGGATTCAATGTGTATCTTGTTCAAGAAACCACGTCCAAGCTCGCGAACATAATTGGATTATGTTCGCGCGAACTCGATGCTGCCGAGGCGCCAAAAGTAGAACATGAGGATGGTCATCGAGTAAAAACACTAGGAAAACAACAGTTTTTCAGCAGAAACTTGATATTCAGTGGTGTGAGCACGTCACAAAACATTGCCGGCGCTCATTTGAAATGGACGCTGCTCGTGAAACACCGGAAAACCAGTGAATATGCAAGTCTCCCGCAAGTTGACAACGTGAGAGTCGTCTATTTTGTGGCATGTTTCATGAAGACAATCACCGACAAAGCAGGCAGCCACAACAAGAACGCAGGCAGCGAAAGCAGCCTCAGGGGAACAGCAAGACCTGCCCAGAGCAATGAACCACAATCGGAAGTGATGCCAAAGAAGGGGAAGGCAGGGGCCAACGCCGGACAGTGGACACGCACGAAACCAGGATAGGCTCGTGTGACCGCGTCACCAAATCGAACAGGGAGTCCAAGTGTGGAGCAAGCACAGAATGAGCCGCGAACAAAGACAACACGCCTGCCAAGCGACAGAGGAGCACAAGACCTAAGGCAAAACGGGCATCATCTGACATGATCATGAGAAGTATTGCTGCGGGTCCAAGACGCAGTGCCATGTTCTGCGATCATCCCCCCCCCCCCCTCCCCACCCCCCCCCCACACCCCCTCCCCCCGACATCTCCGAGCAAACTCCCCAAGCCATGATATGTTTAAACATGATGTCATCTTGTCGGGGAACTTAAACATGATGTCATCCTGTCGGGGAACCCCCCGTGTGGAGGGTAAAAAGACACACCCATATGTACCCTACGGGACCCTACATATCCTCGGGTCCCTGAATTGTCCAATCCATTCGCCAAACTTTTCTGTATTTGCTTGGGTACTCATCAAGAATGCCAGTGTTGTTAGGGGCAAAACCCAGAATAATCAGCCAATTCTCTATAAAGGGGGGGTCCCCTCAAGTGATGAAACCGCATTAAAAGGGGACACTCCCCAGGGAGTTTATGAATTCGGGGTTCCCATTGGTTGGGAAAATCGGGCGCTTGCCGCCAGAGACTTGCTCGGATATGTCGGTCCTGCTCTCCCCACCCGAGGCCTTATTTGCTGCAATGGGAGCCCCGGATCTAAGTAGAACCTCTGGTTGGCTGGTATCTCCTGTTGGTGGGGGGTTCAGCCCGTTTGGAGGAACACCCCCTATTTAGGACGGGTTTATTGATCTGGGGTCAACCATGCCTTTTTTTGTCTAAGGCATATGAAGCCCTCTGTGCTTCGGCGGAATCTTTGCGGGTCTTTGACTGGGGGGTTGTTGGGTTTTCCAGGCCATCGCCCACGGGGTACGACATGCTGGAGGCGCGAGAAGAATGCGGTTGTGTTGGAACGGCTTTGGGCGTTAGTGAGCTAGGGCCACGTAGTTTTTCAGTGCCGTTTTGGTACATGTTGTTAAGCCACGGCAACTTGATGTTTTGGGGGAACGGTGGCGTTGATTTCCCGGCTTTCCCCCTTTTTGAGCCACACCAGTAGCTGTTGGGCCTCCTTCGGGGCGTTTTGTTTGGCATGGCCTTGGGGTCAACAGACTCCTTAAAGGAGAGCCGGGTATAGCATGGATCGATTGCCTTTGGTCAGGGTAACCCTTGTTGCTGGTTGGATTGGATTCGAATTTGACCCTGAGTTCCTTCGGGTCGCATGGAGTTTCGGTGCTGGCCCGAACGTCCAACCGGGCTCCAGGCCATTTGTGAGGCGATCGATCCGGGGTCTGCGGGGTACTCGCCAGGAGCCCTTGCCCTTGCCCGCCGGGAGCCACAAAGCCCAAGCGAGTCGCCATGTCTGGGCAAGGAAGCCGAGGGCCGGCCAAAGGAAGGGGCGATGAGGGCATTTTTATTTGGGTGAACGAAGGCCATAGGGTGGATTAGGCCAACATGTTGGAAGACAAGGTCCTACCATCTATATTCCAATCTGTTTGGTGGTTCGGGGGCCAACAAAAATGGCTGTGGGTCATTTCCAGGTAGGTGCACCACCCATTTTAGTCTATTTTAGTGGGGTTCACTGGGGGTATGGGTCAAAAGGATTTTGACCCATGGCCAAATGGCCACTCGCGGCGACCCGGTCCAAGCGCGATCCAGAGGTGCACTCTCGCACCCCGAAGACGGCCACCCGGGAGACTGAGACGGTGTCTGTGCTGTCCGTGCCCATGGCCTCCAGTCGCGCTCCGCCCGGGAACCCAAGGCATGTGGAGGGGCGAAAGGGCAATTTCGCGTGCAGAGACCCGAACAAGGATATGGGTATGGCTCAAAATGAACGAGCTTGGCCAAACCGCAGGTTTTTGTCTTTGGTACCACTTTTTTGAGCCACAGCCATATGAGTGCCCTGGTAAGCACCAAGACACGTTGTGGGTTTCAATTCATGGTTTTAAGATGGTGCGAACGGATTTCGTCCATCCACACTGGTTTTGGGTAGACGTTTCTTATTGCCTCGGGTGTCCACTGAAAGACTATACGTAAAACCTACCAGGCTTTGATTGTGACTCACCCGGGCCACTTCAAAGTGAGTGTCCTTTTGGTGCGTCCCAGTTCAAACAAGTCACCAAAGCAATCAAACCGAGCGAGCTTGTCGACACCCTGGTTCCGTATTTCTGACTTGGGAGTTAAATTGCCCAGATGCCTAACTCGTTTGCCCAAAGCCGACCTTCTGACCTTTTGGCTTTCCTATTCGGGCGACATGAGCCAGACCAGCCTTCACACAGCTGTTCTTGGTCATCCAGCTCAGCATTCCATGCTTGCATTTGCTTCTAACACGTTCATCCGCGCCAGCTTCAGCCAGAGAGAGCGCAGCAACAGCGCAGACGCTGGCCAAAACTAGCCAAGGACACACCAAGAACGGAAACAATGAGAGAAGCACACAAGGAAAGGACAAGACAAAGAGCAAAATAAGAACACTACACAGAAAAACAAGAAAACGAAACAGCAGCTTTTCCAGCTTTTCCAATCCGCGCGCCTCCGGGGCCTGTATGGCGCCGGAAGCGGTCAAACCGAGTGAAAGCCTTACTGAAAGAAACGAGCCAGTGGCCCAGCTGCGGGTGCAGGAGCCTGCATGGCCTTCACCGCACTGGCATGCGGGAGACGGGCGGCAAGTCGGGCCGACTTGCGCGCCCCGCCGCAAAACCGCTGCTGCGCAAGCCAGTCCTCGACCTGGCTTTGACGGCAGTCAGGCCAGGGGAGCCAAAAGGCAGAGGCCCAGTGGGCAAGCGCATCACTGTCCGGTCGCTGCTTGCGGCAATCGACAACCACGCCTTGAGCGTGCCAAACCGCCCGCAAGACACGCATGAACCAGGTGACGTGCTGGCCTGCAGAGTGCACATGAAGATCAACCCGGCTGCTCCACGAAGGCTCGTGCCACCCTTTGGTAGGGCCACTGAAAACCGGGCCACGGCACCCTGTGGCCATCTGGTAATCAAGCAACAACTGCAACCCTGACACCCACCGGGACTTGTCCCCGGTAAGCGCATGCGGCCACCACGACGCCACGGTTTGCACGACGCGGCTGCCAAATCGCTCACACAGGTCAGCACCCACCCGGGGCAGAACAGGCGGGCGGCGAACGGGATGCCCTTCCGCGATGCGAGGACGGTCGTTGGCACTACTGCGATCATTACCCCTACGGTGGAACAGCTGGGCAACACGGACGATGTAGGCCTGAGCAGCTTGGACAAGGGCCAGCATTCGTGCCTGGTGCGACACAAGCTGGCCATGCACCTGAAAGAACACTGGAGGCCGGGCTTGGTTGGCTGCCTTGGCGGCCTCATCCACACGTGAGTTGTGGAACGCAGCCCACTCCTCCAGCGGCGCAAGCTGGCCACTGCTGGCAACATGCGCAGCAACTTTGTTAATGCGGAGGGCGTGCGGCCCAATCAACTGAACCAACCGGCAGATGTCCGCCCAGACATCTGAATCTGTCTGAGACGGATCCCAACGGAAGCCACCCTGTAGGATGCTTTGCATGCGGTCCACCACGAACTGGCAGTCACACCAGAGGCGCGCGGGACGACTTACCTGGTGCACATACTCAAGGGCAGCCCACACGGCAATGGCTTCAGCACGAGGCACCGTTTGCACCAACCCCTTAAGCCTACCCGCAGCAATGCAAGTGCTACACCACGGGTCGACCTCACAAACTTCAACTACCGCCCAAGCAGCGTACCTAAGCGCCGGCCACTTGGGGCACTGGGCAGTGCCGTCAGTGAAAAGGGAGATAGGCATGCCACCCGAACCGGGTGGGTCTAGGGGCAATCCTGCCCGAGGCATGCCATCCGGCTCAGCCACCAACAATCGGCGCCAAAAGGTATGCATGGGATGAAGGAGGGCCCATCCCCGACTTCTCAAAGCGTCCGGTGACTGCTCAAGCTGGACAAAGACATCCTCGGCAATGGCCTGACGCAACGGCAAAGTGCACACGCACTCCCAATGCCGATGGACCACACTGTCAGGCATGCCACACAGCGGGCAGTTGGGACTTTCTGCCGGGTTAATATGGGCAATGCCATCCTGGGTGAAGAAGGCACCGTTGAGTGCAGCCCGCACATAACCAACGTCTTCGTCCTGCAGCTTAAGCAGGCAGGCTCGAGTGAGGGCAGGATCTACAAGCTCCAGCCCTGGAAACGCCTTACGTGGTGCAAGCATTGCCCCAACCTTAGCAAACCAATGAAGGCGCATGCGAATGTCAACCTCCCGCGGGGACCCCTCCAGGACAGAGAAGGGACCAAATTGGTCAACCACAACTGCTTGGCCCGAGATCGACCAACCGAACAAGGCAAGGCGCTCAACCAGGACCCCACACGGGCCAGCATGGTGGGCAGTGTTGCCTCCAACTGCACAAGCAAGGGTGCTAAGTTGCTCGACGTCAACATGCTCGCGAAAGGCGCGGACGGTAGCTTGGACCGCCCAAACCAACGGATCCGTGGCAAACTCTTCGATGAGGCCTAGTTGGAGCAAAGGGGAAGACCCCCCCTTACGAAGCCTCAACCCGCGCATGGCTGAGGTCCTAAGGCTATCAAAGTGAACAGGGCCCAGGTGAACATTGGCGATTCCGTGCAACGCCCGAGGCCATGCAGCAATCCTGACAGCTTTGACTTTTTCCACATGCGGGGAACAGCTTGCTGCCAGCTGAAGCCACAGCGGCTTCATGCCTTGGATACGCTGGGTAAGCGTCGAGTTGGTGCTGCGCTTACAGTACTGCATGTGTGCCCCAAGGTCGCGCTCGGCATACCGGACTGGCAAACCCTGCGCCTGCAGCAATTGGCGACCTTCGGTGGATGTGGACCACCCGAAGGTCTTTTTAGAATCAAGCTGAAGGTCAGCCATGTCTGCAAACGCTTGCATGGCCCGGAAGGCCGGCGCAACATCCCTACCTTGCCGCTGGAGCAACTCGTAGTTGTCTACGTAGGTCAGTACCTGAATGCCGGGATCGGCAAGCTTGAGATGAATTGCCATGACCTGGTTAAGAAGCATCATGCCTACCACCGAGAGGCCACAGCCTTCCGGCAAGCCTGTACTGCTTGGGATGGCCGGGCCTACAGACCTCCGAACCCGGAAGCGACGAACGAGAATGGTGCAGGCGCCCGCCCAGGCGCGGATGACGCCTGAGTCTACTCCTATGGCAGCGGCAATGGCAAAAATTGGCAGCCTAGGCAGCACATTAAAGGCTTTAACCACATCGGCAACCACACCCGACAAGACTTCCCCCGTTTGGCCGGCGGCCTCGACAAGGGACTGCACAGAATACCAAATGTGAGCGGTGTGGCGCTTGGGAACATTGCCCATGAGGCCAGGATCCAGACACTGCTTCAGCTTGCGGATGAGTTGACGGGAGCGTATGGAGCTCCAAACCCTGTACACAAGGCTCAGCACAACTATAGGCCGGTACTGGGCAGCGGTTGATGCGTGCTCAGTTTTCTCAAGGGAGTTAACAATGCCTACCAACAGCTGCTGCGGCCAGATTCCAGTGCGCTCGGCGCCCTCAAAGACATGCAAGGCTTGACTCAGCTGGGAATCGGACAGCTGAAGGAGGTCAGACCGGGCAACCCCGTCTGCACCAGTGGCGGCATGCTTGTGCTTGCTCTGGATGGCCTTCCGGAACTGTGGGACCGTGATAGGCTCCACAGTAGCATCGACTTGGGGGAGGTACCTACTTGCAAGGGCAATCAGCGGGTCCCACCGGGCATCCGGGACATCCCGATGGCGGTCCCATCGAGCTCGCCACTCGGTAGCAAAGGCATCAAACACGTCACAAAGGTTACCGACAAGGTCGTCTTGGACTACCACTTGACCTACAGCAGCACACACTGGGGAATCAAGCCAGATTTTGTCCCCCTCGGCATGGACAACACCATACTGCTTGCCCGCAACCCACACAGGGCGGTCGACACGGAACTCGCAAGGCTCAACCAGCACGACTGCACAATCGGACTCATCTACAAGCTCAACCTGCGCCCGTCGCGTGTTGACCAGAAGGTCGACGGGCTTAGCCCTAGGCCTAGCAATGTCCCGAAAGACCAATGCAGGGTGAGCTTTACGGCGGGCCTTGGCGCAGGCGACACGGTCACTATTGAGGGAAGCTTCAAGGGACCGAATTTCACGGAGCAGGGCCTCGGAAAGGGCCTTAGCATCAATTGCATCAGGTGGCATGAGCGGGACACATGGCGGGTCCCACGGACACTGCTGAGTGCGAGAATGCCACCACTCGGCAAAGCTTGGCGCAAAACCTCGGGCCCGAATGATGGCGGACCAGGTGCACACTACGTTCTCTACTCGGCCGGGATCCGTATCCGCGAGCCTGACGGACCTGCTATAAGCTTGGAGTCGACGTATCTGCGTAAACCAAAGGCGGTGCATGCTATGGTTGCCCTCAAATTGCGGGGCCACCTCACCGTGACGTGAGGGCCGCAACGGTTGCACATGACAGACTCCAACTAGGGGCTCAAGCACACTACCTCGCCCTCTGCACCTACTGGGCATGGATGGGCCACCCACAGTGGCAACCCGGAGAGCATGTTGCTCTTCGAAGGCCTCCCACAAGCTACGGTAGCTGTCACCAGCTTGGGCCAACGTGGCTGGGCACCAAACGGGAGCAGCTTGTTCGGGTGCACAGGCCTCTTTAGGGACCTCAGGCAAGGGCCGTGGGGTAGGCCACCGATAGACGACCTCCGGCTGGAGACCTGTGAAAACTGCATGGACAGTGGCGTGATCGGCAAACCGGTCATGGTGCACGGCGACCGACTGCAACACCCGGGCTAGTTCCGGCGAGACCCACAGTTGGTCCACCTGCGTAGCCATGCGACAAGTCATTTGAGGCTGGATACCCCAACGCTGCAAGGCTATGGACTGAACCTCCTCGAATCCGGCTCGTTGCCAGGCCTGAAAGCGGGCATGAGAAGGGGGGAGGTTAAAGTCACCGGCCACAAAGCGGGGGCCACAGTTGTTGAAGACAATGCGGTCTTCAGCAAGCTCAAGCAGCTGATCGGTCATGAGGGCAGCTTTGCGGAACACCGGGCCTGGCGTGTAGCCATAAAGGACGGCTCCCTGCACCCACTGCCCATGCACAAGCGAGGCAGTGGCCTGTATCCGCCCCGTGCTCACAGGGTCTTCCCCCCAGCACTGCGGTAACGCGCGGCTAGGAAAGGAGGCAAGCAAGCCCACACCGGAGAATGTGCCTACGTGCTGGGAATGTGGACGGTTGGGCAATGGCGCCCCTGGTACAAAACTGGAGAACGGGGACTTGACCCGGAGGAGTCCCTTGCGAAAACGGTGAATGCCTAACTCAGTGAGGTGGGTCTCAGAAACCGCCCACAAGCCAGGTTCAAGATCCAGGGTGGATTCCTCCTTCCCCTGCAATCCCGTGGGATTAACGACCCCGAGGGTCCACTGGACCGGATCTTGGGAAGCGGATGACGAGGCAGGCCCTGGGACCTTGGCCTCTCCTACACGAACCACGAGCAACATGGTTCCAACCAAGGCCCACCAAATGCGGGAACACCATAAGGCGGGGCGGGCCTTAGCACTAATGCACTTAATTAGGACCAGGAGCCTGACAGCCCCTAGTCATTCTCCCCGGGAGCGGGAGCGTGTTGCGGATGAAGGTTTCCGCAACAGCGCCTCGATCTTCTGCATCTGAGAGGCAAACAGGCCCTCAAGCTGATTCTGCGTGGCATCAGCTTTCGCCTCAGCCCGGTGGACGGCTTGACCGATCTGCTGCACCTGGCCTTCGATGGCATTGATGCGCTGGTCAGCAGCGGCAGCATGCGCAGCTTGAGCCTCAAAGAGCTTGGTCTCGAGCTCAGTGATCCGGTGATGGGCATCATCGGCGCTGTGTTGCTGCATGCCTGCATCAACCTGCATGGCCTGAACGGACCGATCGAGGCGTGCCTGAACAGCGATGGCAACCTGCTCTTCCAAATTGGGGACACTCGGGGCCGGGGGGTGTGCGGCTGCAGCTGTGACTCCCCTAGCTTGGAGCCACGGATCTCCTTTGAGCCAAGGGTCCTCCCCTACGGGAGCTGGCGCGCCTTTCATGACCTGCATGGTGCGTGAATGGGCAACGACTGGCACTGCAGTTGGCTCTGCAATAGGCTTGGTGGGCACCTGGGTGATAACAACTGGCCCATGAGCCAAATGCGCGGTGGCTGACGGTGGCTCACTACTGGCCTGGACCTTCCACATCACACCTGAGCGATCAGGAGAAACACTGCCGGCCTGAAGAGGCCGCGCGCACCACTTCCACTCATCGAGCCATTTCTGCAACGACTCTCGCTGGGTCCCAAAGGGGAGCGGACCGACCTCGTACACATGCTTTACTGAGCCCCCCATGAACGGAACACCCGGGCGAACAGCGGCATGGATGGCGGCAGCATCGGCAGCTCTGGTCCTCACGCCGTAGCGATCGCCATTTCGGGCGAGGCCAACAGCCATAATGTGGGACTGCTTAACGACAGTGGCTTCATGCAGGGTGGCTTTGGGCAACCAAACAACAGAAAAGGCTGGGCATGGCACCTTGCCATCCTCGGACCGAGGCTCGGTGAAAATGCCGCCATGGCCAGCTTGCCGCAGCAAGGGGTTAACCAGCTCCTCAGGAACACGCACGTTGCAGCTAAACTGCACAGCCTGGGTCGGCTCAGCCATGCGATTGCGGGCGTCCAGGAACTGGCGACGCCACAGATCCAGAATGGACGCTTGCGTAGGCACCTTATCTGCATTGTGCCAGCATGGGCACTGACAATCCGCCTGACGGCACAACCTAAGCAACGGCAGCTGCTCAGTCACGTACTTGACCGGGCGAATGGCAATGCCCTCCCACGGCGCAACAACCTGATCACGGAAAACCAAAACCTTGAGGACCACCGATTTGGCAACCTCAACAGACAGCGGCTGCTCCGGGCGGAACACCTGGCATTTGCGCTCGCCCAACTGGCACAAAACCCCAGTGAGCAGGATGGGATCCCCGGTGGACAGGCAGATAGCCGGAAACTGCACTGGCTCCGAAGGGCGCTCGATGGGCACAGTCCCATCGGCGCCATGACCGACCACGATAAGGCCCAAAGCCTGGCTGCTTATGGGCTTGGACGCCCTGACATACGTGGCCGCTTCCTCGGGGGTGGCTAGGACAACGCCTGCAGCACAGGGCCCGATGGCCGGCAAACTGATCTGAGCTAAGGCAATGTCTGGCATCTGCATAAAGGTTCCCTTGGCAATCTGAACCTGGGCCGGCTCAATGTGGATGGGTGCCAGATGCCTAACTCGTTTGCCCAAAGCCGACCTTCTGACCTTTTGGCTTTCCTATTCGGGCGACATGAGCCAGACCAGCCTTCACACAGCTGTTCTTGGTCATCCAGCTCAGCATTCCATGCTTGCATTTGCTTCTAACACGTTCATCTGCGCCAGCTTCAGCCAGAGAGAGCGCAGCAACAGCGCAGACGCTGGCCAAAACTAGCCAAGGACACACCAAGAACGGAAACAATGAGAGAAGCACACAAGGAAAGGACAAGACAAAGAGCAAAATAAGAACACTACACAGAAAAACAAGAAAACGAAACAGCAAAAGAAGAAGAATGATAAGGAGGAGGAGGACGAGGAGAAGAAGAAGAAGAAGAAAAACCAAAAGCAGAAGTACGCCGCGTCGACTAGCCGCACAAGGGGCTTCCGCTGCGGTTTTGGAGTTTCACTGTTGGAGTGGTACTGTCAGCCTGAATCCTGCCCAGCTTTCGGCGGGCTTTGAAGGGATTGCCCTGAACGTGGCAAGGACTCCTGGCAAAAGTACCTCTCATTCAGAGAACCCCTCCTCAACATGTTCGCTTTGAGGGACCCAGCAACGCCAGAGGAGCCGTTCAAAGAACGGGTTCTAAACAAACAGGTTCCGATCGCTTGCGCCAAAGCATCCTGAAGTTCGGAGCCCATTGGCTAAAACCCATGTAGAACCCATGTTAGATCGACTTCCTCGCGACCCAGTCGCTTCCGCCTGAGGACTTCTCCAGGTGACTTGCCGGTGCCCACGCATCTGCCTTCGCCCAGCCCCGTGGGGAGTGTACGCCGACAGGAGAGACCGGGGGGGGGAAGGGGCTGGGGGTGGGAGGTTCGGGATCATTGTAATGCATTCTAAGTTGCTTGTATGATTCGAGCGATGACTCTTTTGATGCAACACATTCGGGCCATCTTCTCTCTATCATTCATTTTATTGTTGATTAGTATATAGTTATGGACTCTGCTGAGGGTCTTCTCCCCTCAGATCAATGTGGAACCCAACACCGGTTCATGTTGAAAGCATGCCCTTTGCCTCATTTGGACTGTACCAGTTGGAATATGGCGTGTCGTAGGATCTTGGGTTATTCAAAGGGAAACCAACGGAATACCGCCCATTTTAGGGGTCCCCTGATTCTTGAGATGGAAAAACATCTCCCAACAAAAACAAGCAAACTGCAAACACACACGAAAGATATGGCTTTATGGAACATGTTCACTTGAAACTTCAGGCTGTCCCAGAAAACAAGTGCCGGCAAATAGAACGATTCGATCTTTCAAAAACAACTGTTGGTTTCATGGGCCGCCCAACGCTGCCCAATGCAGCTATCTCAAGAAGGAAACTCAACTGATTGAAAACAAACAACATAATCGGAAACAACTCACTGAATCAAGGCAACAACGAAAGTTGGTAAAACAATTGGACAGAACTGGACAGCACCATGGCAGCAAGTTACAATGAAATGGAAACATTTGGAATTCGATTGAAAACACTTGTTAAAACAACAAACGTCAGGCCTCCATTCGAAAGGAGGATTTCAATTTTTGCGACATGGATCTCTACCATCATGAACACTACAGCTCAGATAGGCATGCCAAGTCCATTCTGGAACTCGGGGTTGAACCGCCCCAGGCGAAGGAGTGCAGTGAAAGCCCCCGCCATGAATCGGCCAGGTTTGATCCTGGGCTTCTGAGCTACCCTTCCTCCCACAAACATGGCATGGGGAGGCTCCTGGAAGTGCATTTTCCTCTTGGAGCGGACCTCCCTGTGCCATGTTAGTGGGAGAGAGGGTACCAGGTCTAGATATTTCTCAAAGTGGACTCCTGATTTTGTTTGCTTCCTCTTGCTTTTCCTATAACCATCCGAACCCCATTCTTCCGTTGCCGCGCAGCCACGCCTCGGAACCCCCGCAGGAGGTCCGGGTTCCAGCGCGCTCGGCAGCATTCAGCACGGGGTCCCGGGGCACGTGGGGGCCGGTGCTTGGCTATAGCAGGTCATAACCCTGGCCAGCCTTGGTTTTCATTTTAAGGTTCACCAAGTATGGTTGCCACAATCAACATATCATTTTTGCTGGGGGTCAAAAGCTGAGGTAGTTTGCCGTCCCAACGTGGGGTACGTCTGGGCAAATGGAGCCAGCGAGCGGGTGTTTGCGGCGAACCCAGGACCCCAATGTATGCCATTAGTCCGGTCTCAGAAGTGCCTCACATGCCAGTCATAGGAGTACATACTCCCATGGCGTCTCTTTAATGGCACCCTTTGGGGTTTGGCTTAAAAAGATGAAGACCACTTCTTCTTCTTCTTCTTTCTCCTCCTCCTCCTCCTCCTCCTCCTCCTCCTCCTCCTCCTCTCCTTCTTTTTTTTTTTGGGGGGGGGGTGTCCCCTAAAAAAGGGACACCCCCACGAGTTCCCCCACAAATTTATCCGAAGCCCCAATCCCAAACGAATGAAGAAGAACGCGCCGCCGAGGTTCTGCGCCCAGCCGGGTGTCGCCCTCCGATATGCCGGTGCCCACCTTTGTGCCGCTTGGACCGAAGCGAACGCAGAGCCTCCCTCTGGGAATTGCAGCCGGTGCTTGGGTTCCATGTGAACATGGGCCATCAGTGCAAGGTGGCATGTAAGCTTGGGGTCGAACTCTGAAAGCAAACAAGAGAAACCACCCCCCCCAGGGGGGTCCGTATCCAATTTAGAATTTAGAGGCAGGGGAGTGGGTTTGCGACTGGGAGTGGCTTCGCATTCCATAATTGGGAGGGAACTCACGCCAACTTGGATGCTTCAGCAACCTAAGTTGGTCAGCATGGTTACAACTGGGGTCAGTCAAACCTAGCTGATTTGAATGGGCATCCTGTGCCCAGGTCCTGTTAAGATACATGGGGGTTGATCAATATTCCTGGCCCCCAAATTGCCATGGGTAGCTTTTCCAAGTTCGTGGGGGAAATCATCTTTGGCGGTTTGCCTGGTGGTCACCCCATGTAAAGGACTTTTGGAACCCCGAAATCAACTCAGATGTCCCAGACCTTTGAAACCCCTCTTTTTGTATTCCTTTTGATGACCCATGCCACACGGGTCCTTCTATTAAGGTACCACCCTTGTTTATGGTGTTCAAGTTGGAAATCCCCAATGTGTCTCTTGAGTGATTGGAACATTACCTTTGGGTTGTCATTTCCACATGGGCCTGAGGTTGGAACGGGACATGGCGAGCTTGTTTGTTTGGTTCGTGAGGAATGCAGGCAACCATGCGAAGGGCCGCTTTGCTCTCAAAGAAAGCGGCCCAACAGTCGAGCACTTGGCAAAACGAGCTCAAACCCCAATCTCTAGTTGGTGAATTGAGCAATTTGTACAGACTTACTACTTGAGTTCCTGGACTTTTTAAAATATTTGGGAAAACCATTTTAGTGGCAAAGAACAAGTTTGGGGACTTGTTTTGACCCATCCACCCACCGGGAGGTGAGCAGATGGACAAGGGCCCGTGGTTGCAAGAGATTCTAACTGTCATAGGGCTCTTGTGGGCCATCCGACCCCAAAATCCGGAGCGGAGTGGGATTTGGGGGCTTGGTTGGCATTCGGTGAAACCGACGCCCCCTTTCTGCAGGGCCCCAGCCACGCTTCCCCAACTGTTTTGACATCAACAAATCCGTATTTCTAGGTGTACCTTCCCCATTCTTCCAGGGATCCTTCTTTCTAGAAAAACTCCGGAAACCCAGGGAAAACGGCCTATTTTTGGAAAGCACGATGGTTAAAAAGAATGGGGAATCAACCCCTAGAATTGTTCCCCAACAGCTCTGGGGTGGTTTCTGGCAGCCTTCAAGGGGGCTTCCAGAGGGTTCCGGGGCTTCTGGGGATATTATCTGGGGCTAATTCTTTTTCCCCCGCCCGTTTTACCCTTTTTTGGAACAGGCTCAATAGAGAAGAACAACGAAAGCAAAATGGGGGTCAGACTGCGGCCTGCCATTATTGCCCACCCTATCAACGAAAGCAACATGGGGTTATTTGTCTTTTGCCCACCATTATTGGGCGGGGGGGGGGGGGCTGTGGGTGTGGTTTGCAGGGTCCCTGGCTCTGGCGCCGCTTCAGGCCCTCCCCGACAATGGCTCCAGACGCGCCTCGGCACCGTGAGCCCGAGTGGAACCTAACTTGATACGCTGGATGCCCCAAGTTTTACAAGTTGAACAAGGACATCCCCCTCATTTTTCCGCAACTTACCATGGTTTGTGGTCAAGTGGTTGGTTTACTTGCCAGATTTAGGCATCCACGATACGTTATGCTACGCAAACGAATATCACGGCAGGTGCCCTATGCATTGGACCCATTGGAGGTTTCAATGAACATCGAATAGCATGGACGTCCAATCGGGAGGGTCGCTCCTTTGGCCATTCCCAAAAGGTAGGTGTTGTATTGTTGATGCCTGAAGCAAATGGAGGGTAACCGTGACAAGATCATGCACCTCATCTTCACCCGGTGGTTTGGGTTTGGGGAGGGTCTTGGGATTAGAGCCTGTGTTTCTCGCGCTCTCGTTAAATCGCCAGCATCTGGATTGCATTTTGCAACTAATGAACCAAAGGTTTACACCAGGGCGAACGAAGATGTCGCAATTCTCTTGGTCTACCAAATTCCTACAAAGCGGGGCAACGTGACCACCCCCTTGGCGGGGTGCTTCAGCATGCGGCTGAGGAATTAGAAGAGATGCAGGTGCCGAGCGTGTTGCCTCCCACGCAGGCGTCGCGCGCGGCTCGGGGCGGGGTATGTGCTTACGAAGACATGGCTTCCAACATGGTCATGACTTGTTGTTTTTTGGTACCCCACATCCACTAACTATTTTGCCCCTTGTATTACTAACTCCCTTTGTTCTGGACTTAGTCGCGTGGGTTTGGACCATTGCAGTGGCAGCCAACAGGTTTAGACACTTTCGGGCAAATGCAGTTAGGAAGTAAAATAGCAGCCAGCCTTGCACCAGCCAACCTTGCATGAGTCGGTCATGAGTACTTGGCCGCAATAATTTTACAGGCTACAGTAGGGTGTGTGTGTGTGTGTGTGTTCCCACTAAGTGAGGGATCATCTCCAGCACAGGTGGCAACCCCCATATTCATCAACCGGGGGATGTCTTCAGCACCCACATTCCAACTGGACAGTCCACTGTTGGATTCGCCTTGGATTGCGGGCGCTGGGAAAGCCATATTTGTGGGAAAAAGCCATCTGGGCTTCCAGGGGATCGACTTGACTTGGGATTTCGGGCTGCACTGATTCACCTCGGGAATGAACAACAGTAACCACCCCCGTGGAATCTGAGAGGACAGTTCATGGAATCCATGGATTTGGCATGGAGGAAAACGATCCAGGTGCCTTCGTTCAGGGCTCTCATGGAAGGGTAATTAGGGATGGGATTGCTTGGTCCTTGGGTATGAGGCCATGCTGGTGATTAGTAGCCTAGGCTATAATCCGCTTATTAGCCCCCTAAAAGCAGTTAGCTCTGTCGGTGTGGCTGGTCACCTGATTTGGGGCTTGCTTGATTTCCTCTTATCCCCTTTCAGGGTCGACTTGTTGAACCCTTTTCCCACTCCGTCAGGGATGTTGGGTTGCGCCAAGCAACGCACACACATTTTTTTCATGTTTCCTGGTTTCGTGGGGTCATAGCCTATGAGCCTTGACCTGGGTACCTCAGAATGGTCCAGGACATTCTCCAGCAAAAAATCAGCTCATGCCAAAGACCTATGTAAAACGCATGGGTTTGGGCCAACCTGGAGACTGTCCTGGAGATGCGGTGGGACGGAATCCAAGTCGCCACCACGAAATGAAGCCATGGTTGAAACCATGACGTTTGTTGGCATTTACCATGGAATCAATTCATGAACCAGGGTTTCTGAACGGTGGTGCCTAAGAGGATTTCGCAGCCACCCGATGTTTCTTTTCTCAGAGCCGCGGGTTTTTCGGCACTCACGCGCTCATGCGAGTGGGTTCGTTCCAGGAGGTCACGAGCCCCACGGTCACGGCGGCGGCCACTGTGGCAACCCGAACCGCCACCGCCGTGCGCACGCAGATCTGGCGAGGCGCGGAGGAAATGGAGCGGCGAGGGACCAGTTGCTTATGAGTTCGCGAGGCCTTCGCAGGTTGCCTTTAAAGGGGAGGCAAGACCCAAGATTGGGGGTGTTTGGGTTGAGGCCCTTCTCAGGTTGGTTTGAAGGGATGATCCAAAGTTTGGGTACCTACATCTCCCCGTGAAGAAAATTCGGTGGGTTCAAACATCACCTGGGCCACTTTTGCAGCGAGTTTCCCGGGGCGATCTATGCGCCGAGTCTCTGGGGCTGTGAGCCGGGGCTTTCTTCAGTCTCCGCATGGGTCTGTGACCACGTTGGCTCCGCTCGGAGGATGTGCAGTAGCACCAATCTAGAAGCTCCCCAGATGAACATGGGTTACCCCCCCAACAAATCGGAAACGAGTGTCCTTCTGGGAATCGGCAACCCTCTGAAAGGGGGGGTTCCTTCCGTCAATGTGCAGGGGAGTAGTCCTTTTGGGTGGCGTGCCCCTTTCTTGTTCACAGATGGCAAATCGGGTTGACCGAACAATGGTTGACAGGGGTCCCAGTTTTAGCTTGCTCCAAGGAATCAACCATCCCTGGGTTTAACTCTACCTTGGGGTAAAGGCCCTCTTGAGTGAGAGCGCAGTGGCGGCTTGGGTGTTGGTTTCGGACAGGATCCCAGTGATTCGTCAGGTGAGCGCTGCCCTTTTCACCTCTTGGCTATTGGTTTTTCCGTCGCAACCGGCAAGTGCCAGCCTTTTTCTGGCCGGATCCGTTTGGCCCGGTCAATTGGGAACCATGGGCCTCGGGGTTCACAGGTGCCCATCCAACTCAGACACCCACGTTCAGGTGCCCAGCTGGAATTGGGGCCCACGATGGAATCAAGCCCAAAATGGGTTCCAATTCTTTTTCCGCCAGGTTCACTGCACACTTGGGGGAGATTTTCCCACTTCAGGTGTGTCAATGATAGTATTTTGCCCAGATGGGTGTTGTTTTTTAGGTCAGTTTGGTTTAACATAGATGCACTTCCCCGGTTTTACTTTCAATCGACTGGCCTTTAGGTCTGTTTCACTGGATGAGGTCCCAAACCGGGCCCAAATGACACCTTTCCGGCCCCGAGGTGTTGTGTTTGTGTGGAAGATGTTTCTAATCACACCGCCGACCCCGAATGTTTAGCGAGGGCAGTCCACATCCATGAGGGCACGAGTTGTTTGAATTCCTATGGGGCAAGGGTGCCCTCATGGTTCCCGTGTGGGCAGAAGTGATCTTGCTTCCATGATTGTTGAGAATCTTCCTAGGACCTTTTGGGGTTATGTGTTGGGGGAAATTGGGGTGGTCTTAGATTAGTTAGGGAATGAACCCCTAAAACGGCCACGATTTCCTCTTGGTATCCCTTTACAAGCCAACTGAGTCTTCTACAGCACATCCGGGCCCCGCCCAACAAATTGATTGCTTAGAAAGTCGGAAAGGACCTGAATGAAGGAATGGTTGGATCTCTGACTTAGCAGACCCTCGGCTACACGTCAGACAGAATTTCCAGCCTGTCCGGCTGCTTTCTGGCAGGCGAGCCCTCGCCGGTGGACATGCCGGTGCCCACCTTCGTGCCGGGCCCTTGGGGCGCAAAGTTTGAAGAGAGACATGTGCCACGTCAGGCAACCGATTCGGGTAGATGAAGGTTAGTACGGGAGAATTCCCCGTGCCATAGATGGGTGCCTGCGCGCCGCCTTGTTAGTTCATTACAAGGTTCTTAGTGCCAGGTTTTGATCCCACTGACAGTCGCCAAGCAACCCCAGCAAAAATTGCCACAGGCTAAGTTGGCTGAATATCCAGACGCGTCACCGGTCCCGTCCGCAAGGTTTCCAAGAAATCGTCGCAGCTCCACCAAGAAGCTGCTGAGAGCTGGTCCAATTTGTCTTGAACTTGTCTGCGGGGTGATCGCTACATGGATCTTTCCAAAAGGCTCATTTCCGATTCTTTTCATCCATTGTCGTGCCATGACATCACAACGATTCCGGAGATTTCGCAACTTTTGGCCAAGGAGGATGACTGTAAAGAATGGGAGCAGTACCAAGTTATTTTGTGTCTCCTGTTGCGGCCAAAATCTCAACCATACATCCCACAAGCTTGATCGGCCGGTGTTGCTTCCGTTTCCGAAGGACGGTCATTGTCCAGGGGTTTACGAATCCCGGGTTCCTCCGTGTTTGGCTTCCCGTATTTTGACACACGCCCATATGTTTCTACCTGGCACCATGACCTAGATCCTCCCGTTCCCGGTCTTGTCACCGAATGACAGCCGTCTTTGGGACTGCCGGTTTCGTCACTTTAGGCTTGGTTCACAACAGGGCCTTCGGAGAGTTGAAACAGCCACAGCTTGGCGCTTTCTTAGAACCAACTCATGGCAAGGAGCCTTCAGATCCCGGGATTCGTAAACCCTGCTGCTCTTGGGCGTGTCGGTAATTGTTTTATGATTTTGAATTAACTTTAAAAACAAAATGGGCGGGGGGTGCCCCAGAGCGAATCCGAATCGCTAGGGGGAAGCACGCTAGGCGTGTCTCAAGATAAAAGGACCCTCAAAATCATGGTTTTCCCGGTTGTTTTCCTTCAACCCAACCTTGTACCCTCAAAAAACACGGAACCATACTGTCGGTGGACGGAATCCAATTCGCACCACTTGGCAACCATGGTTGAAACCATAACGTTTGTTGGCATTTATGTTGGGGAATCGAATCATGAACCAGGGTTCTGAACGGTGCGTTGCATGGATTTTGCAACCACCCACAGTATGAATCCATTCGGGCTCGACATGGCGCCCGAGGCCATCCCCCACCTCTCCGCGGGAGGCTGGGATGGTTCTTTTTTGGGGGGGGGCGCAATCTCGCGGGAAGGCAGCCCTCCGGTTTCTCCTAAACAGAACCCATAACAAGGCCCGAGCCGTATTACTCTACTGCTATTGGGTTGGATCTTTAGACTTTAACTTTTTTGGGAAATCAAGGTGTTTTCCAGTAAACCCCCAAAAAGTTAAACTTTTTTGCAGGGGGGTCAACAGCAACCAAGGGATTGACAAGCTTCGGCACTGATTGCTACAAATGCAGCCGTTTGAATACTGGGACAAACCTACCAACTGGTGCAGGACTTTGTTCAGCCGTTCCGTCCTTTGTGTATGTGCATTGGTTAAAGGGGGGTTCCGCAACCAGAAAATGGTCTTCCATGACTGTTGGAGGAAGGGTAAGTGCTGTGGTGAAGCTTGAGGCTGCTCACCCAAATCAAGGGACCCCTCCAGAGGCTTGGTTTCCTTCTTTGAATCCTTCCGAATCAAAGTCGCGATTGGTTGTCTTCCCAAAGGGGAACTGGGGTTTGTTCTCCAAAATGGGATATGGGTATTTCTTGTTCGGGGTACCGCCCCTTTTTTGGGTTGGCTTAAAGGGAAATAAATGGAGAACCTTAGATAAACAAAAACATATACAAATATATCTAAATCCTTCAAAGGGGCCCGGTTTCAGCTTTTCCGTGATGAAGCCCCCCTCATTTCCGGTTTGCGAGTTGCGCCACTTTGCACCCTTTGTTTTTTGGTTGGCTTGTTATTGAATCCTTGGCACCCGCAAAGGGGCGGGTTCCCATTTCTCTAAAAATCCACCAACCGCCGGTCCGGGGGCCCACTGGTTCAAAGCCTTTGGGCGGCGTTTTTCCCAGGATGCGCCAGAGGGGGTGATGCCGCCCACCCCTGCCCGGGCCTTGGGTTGATAGTCAGATCTGCGGCCGATCAAAACCACAGCCAGGAAAATAGGTATAAAGATGCTAGCCCAACCGAGAGGATAGTATAGTTATATATATGTACATACACGTATATACCTGTGTATGCTTACTTTTTAAGTTTGCTTTTTTCGGGCCACTTCAGCCACGTCCTCAAAACCGATTCGGGTAGATAAAGGTTAGTAAGGGATACTTTGCCATAGATGGGTGCCTTCGCCGCCGTCTTAGTTCTTGAAGCATGGTTCTGGGTAGACCAGTTTAGTACCAAAATGGGGGGTTCCGACTCGCTTTCTGTCATGCCAAGGGAATCCCCTTCTCCAATAATTCATGGCCCACATTGTGGCTAGTAATGCTGGAGCTTCCTTTTGACCGGAGCTTCCTTTTATTCTGGGGTGGACTTAGGATACATTTTACATTTTACCCGTGCCTCAAAGTGAAGCAAACAATAAAAATACTCTAATCATGTATTTTGATTTAGTATTCTTGGGGTTGAGTTATCATTTGATTCAGTATTGCTGGAGCTCAAAGTGGGTGCGGCCCACAGGGCTCCAATTAATACCATGGGGACCCAAACTATTTATATGAGCTGGGCACTCATGTGGGGTATGTCATGTGGCCTTGTCACTCCATCACCTTTGGGGTTTTCTGCGGGGTCCTGCCTGAAAATGGGGTTGTTTGGAGGCCAAAACGCTTACTTCGATGGATTTCAGCTTTTCAATTTGTTTAGAATTGGGGGGGGTCATGTGGGCCAGGACCAGTTCCATTACTGTATTCTTCCATTGGTATTTTCCCCTGCTGGTTTTGAAGGGAATTTATCACTGCTGGACATATTTGTCTGTTTTGCAGGGAGCTGAAGTATTTACCCTAAGTTAACACTACCCCAACCCATGCAAGGAATTACATGGGTTTCTTGCAGCCTGTTTTTTGTTAAAGGGAGACTGTCCACTAATTTTCACTTACCCAGGTTTTGATTCAGGATGTCAAGTCTATTCCGCATCCTCAAGCCTGAGTTAGGCTTGTCAAGGGCGGAGCTAGATCGGACAGGGTTGTCCTTTCCTATCTTTGGAGAAGAAGCTTAGCTGGTAAAAAAAAAAAAAAAAACACTGTTTCTTTTTTGGGGGGAGGGTTCCCCTAGTAAAGTAGACTACAGAAAAAAAGTTGGTGCCCTTATTCTAACCTTTCTACTGGAGGACCTAGTTAGCATACCTCCGAATGATTGATTTCCTGAAGGCACCATTGTCAGGTCCCATCGGCCAAAGCAGGACCAACAAGCGGCCGTTGGGGCATCAAACAGCGGCCGAGCTTGTACAAGCCACCAAGCCTTCACATCAAACAAATGGCCCGTTAAAGGCCCATCAGTCAGATTCCCCAAGTTCCAGGATGTTTGCGCTTTTTGAAAAGACCATTGTATTTGCACACAACAAGTCGGTTTCTTGCTCGTGTACTCCGGGAGTCGCATTCCAAGGATTGACATAACTTTCAGCAAAAGGCCCATCAACAAAGGCATCAAGAGAAGCTCCAAGAACGGCCCCTAGAACGACTCATGTGTAAACTCCTTTCGGACACTCCACTCAGGAAGTGAGGGCTTGAATGGTGTGAGCTTTGCAAGACAACATATGCATAATATCTCAGATTATGTAGGCTGTATGTCCCATGAAAGTGGTAGCTTCAGTTTGACAGCTCCCCAGCGGCAGCCAATGCTGACTCAGAGCCATAGCAGTTTCGAATGGCTCTCACCAGGCAGTGACCAGCCCCATGGACACCGTCACCGTAGAGGTCCCGCCCGGCGAAAGCGCCGCGGGGCGGTCCGCGTTCAGCTCCGCGCTGCGGTCCGCAGGCGGGAGGTGTCGGGGGATCGGTTTCCGGGTTTTGCCAGGGGCTTTGCAGAGCTCAAGTCGAAATGGGTCTGACCAGGGGGCGCCTTGATGAGGGGGTAGATCAGGGTTCAGGTGTGCGTTCGTAACCCTGGGATTAGTGGAGGAACACACAACTTTCAGCCCACCGACTTAGGTATATGGGGCTTCCTCCCTTGGGTGCTGACAGTTTGAAGGCCAGGAGCAGGCTCTTTCATGTGTCTTGAAAGAGGGTTCGCTGTGCCTGTAGAATGAGTGACCTTTTTCCCCGGTCACATGTTCAACCATGCTGTGACGACTTCCGCTTGTGAATCTCGTTTGCGACTATGAGGACGCACTTGCAGGCAAAGGCAGTCTTGCGCCAGTAACGATTCAGTGAAGAGTCCTCCACACAATACACGAGGCGGGGCCTCTCGTTTGTGGAGCCTTGCCTTTCCACGGACGTTCTCCTCTCGCATCAAAGCCATGGCTGTGATGCGGTTCAGGGCATCAGAAATTCCAGCCGTGTGGACTTGCCAGACCTGTATGGCCCTGCTGTTGCCTTTCACCCCGAGTACACATGAAAGGACCCCCGTCTTGAAGGGGGTCAAAAATGCCGGGGTGTGGGGGGGAGGCAATTGCTGACTGTCTTAAATCCCGAGCGAAGGAGGCTGACCATCCTGACTTCTCTAAAGTCTAAAGGTACTTTCAAGCACCCCCACAAATTGTCTCTCACTTGTTTGGGACCCCCCAAACATGCTTCCCATTGTCCGTTAAATAAAGAAGAAAAACAACTACCCAAAAGGAAAGGGGTCACCTCAAAACAAGGCACACAAGGAACGTCTAACCTTCACATGGAGCTCGTGGATTTGCCCATCTACTTTAGGGCACCAGCATATGTTGACCCCGGTTGCTGTGGATGATCGCTTCCCTGGCCATAAACCACAATGTCCCGCAAAAACCAAGGGGGGGTGGCAACCCATTTGCCCATGTCCTTTTCAGGGTTTTGACCCAGTTTCCCTTTCTCAGGTGAGGGGGGTGAAAGTTGACTTGCCTTATTTTGGGCTTTGATTCCACCGACATAAGCTTCAAACGTTTCAATAAGTTTCGATGCAAATTATTGTGTCACCACTATCGACCAGCTTTACTGTTTACACAGGGTCAAAGACCGCCGCAGTCATATATGGGTTTGTCTGAAAATAGAGGGCCTCTCAAAAAAGTTTTCCTGGAACAACAACCAATCAAAAGGGGTACCCCCATAAGACACATGCTCATTTTGGACAAATCAAACACGTCAGTCTAGTGGAGGTCATTTTCCACGGTGCAAAAGGTGGGGACATATGACCTCAGGTTTTGTTGAAAATCCCGTGCATTTCTGATTGTTTAGCATTTCGAACAGTTTTCCTCTTCTGCTTTCCTCTGCCCAATCATGCTTCACATCTCCTTTTGCAGAAGTCGGAGATGCGACGTCTATATGTCACATCCCGACTCGACTTGGCCCTGTTAAAAGGGATGCAAGTGCGGCGAGAAGAAGATCTTTCGCAGATTTCGCAGTTTTCTGGGGTAGACTTAGGATACATTTGATGACAATTTCCAGTGGATCAAAGTGAAGCAAACAACAACATATATAACTGGGCCCAACTCTACTCATGTGAACTAGCATACCCAAAAACGGGTACCAACTAAGAAAAACAGGTGCCAACAAAGAGCACAGATCCATAGGAAGTTCTAGGCTTTCAAGCAAAACAGCTTGCAACCAATCCCAAGCTGCGCAACCAAAGCGCGCAGCCAGGCACTACAGAGCCCTCGCCAGTGGACATGCCAGTGCCCACCTTTGTGCCCGGATCTCCAGGGACCAGCACCCAAGGCGAGAAACTGGGATGAGGTCATCAACCCCCCGCCCCCCCCCCAGGTTTTTGCTAAAATGAAAGGTGTGCTGGGTCTGTCTCAGGGTTGCCTCCATTTCCTTTTTAGGAACCTCCCAAAGTGGCAGGGACGTCAAACAATACGAGTTGACAAAAAATGAAGACCCGACGACTGCGCATTATCAACCTGCATGTTTTTGGTTTCTAAGGACAGCACAAACCAATGGTCACATCAGCTTGGGTTCAACCAACCCCCTTCATAGGTTCTCGTCTGTTTGTGAGGCTCGGACCCCTTCTTCTCCCTTTTTTGGGTTGGTCTTAAACGGGACGTCAAAAGGAACACCACCGCGCCATTTTTTTTTTGGGGGGGGGTCGGAGTTCTGAAAACTATGCGAGCCACCCAGATGGGTTCTATCCATTGCGAGGGTTCCTTGGAACCATGGACCATGACCAGCCACAGGTTTGGCGCAAAGGGGAGGCTCAGACCTGCAGTGGGGCAAGCCCCTTGGTTTCTCTTTCCCCTCCAAAATTAGGCCAGGGGCAACTGCTGTCTCAATCACAGAGGACCCAAAGCCGATCCTGTTTTTTTTTTTGTTTTTCCCCCTTGAAAGACTTAGGGAGAACCGCTCAGTTGAGGGTACCTTCTTGGAGACTCCCAAACCTGGACAATTTTCTTGGGGCTTCTCATGCGTTATCCAGTGATATGTCGGCACTTTTCCCGGGCATTGCATGTGTCCTCCATGTTTCACAAATTCGCACCATGCTCCCCGAAAAAGGGACCAACCCCTGCCCAAAGACTCCCCCCAATCATTTGAACGTTGTTTGCCTTGTTTCAGCCTTGTTTGATCCCGAGCTTACCTGTTCAGAACCTTTTAACCTTTTCGTTTTCCCAGTTTGGCGACCATTGTGAGTGAGGCCGAAAGATCACCTTTCGTTTCCAGGTTGTTTTGGGTCCGCGTCAAAATAGACCGAATCAAATGCTGGTTTGCATGTTGTTCTGGTCCAAAACCCTCGGAGAAAAGGGCACCCAGCCTGAAAAAGCACACTCGATCCCATACCACCAGGTTCTCCCAACTAGGGACTTCCGATGGACTCCTTTTTCCTTTTCGGGAACCCCAAAATTTTCTCCAAACCAGCCCTTCGACCTCAAGCAACCCGCGCCCGCACGCACACACGTCTTCCAAAAGTTGATCCGCTATGTGACCCCTTTCAAGGGAAACTCGTTCAAATGGGCCAACACACACACACACACAGCGAAGCAAAGCCTAGCACAATCCCAACCCAACCCAACCCAAACCCAGCCACCCACCCCTAAACTACCTCAAAACAAACTAAACCGCAACAAGCGACACCGACCCTAGACCCACCCACCCCCGCCCCTAAAGCCGAAACAAACTACGTAGAACCCACCCGAACCCTCTCCAGCCGCTTTTGCCCCAGCGAGCATTGAACATTTGACTCTGAGGCCATCTCCCAGCTCCCCTCAGGCGGGGTTGGAAAGCAGGGAGGTTTGAGCGGGGCTCCTGAAAAGATACATGTTGCAACCAGTTGAAACATGTTGCTTTTTCCACCAAAGTAAAGGGAGGCCACTATTTACAAGGCAATGTTCAGGCGTATTATGTAAGGATCCCAGTTTGAGCGGGGCGATTGGAAGGGAAGGGGGGGTTGGATCGTCTTCTTATGGACACTAATTTTCATTCGAAAACCCAGACTGGTGCGGGTTTTGAGGCGGGAATCTACGTCCACCAACCAGTCTTCAGGGGGCTTCAACTCTTTAACAAAAACTGGTCACAAATGAGGTTCGGTGGCATTTACCAGTCTAAGATTCATTTGGGCGGGAGATGGGGGTTTTAAACTGAAACCAAAATGGACACCACATTTGCTTTTTTGCTGGGGAGGGTCCCCTAGTTTAAGACCACCCATATGGCCCATATGAGTTATTACGGTTTAGAGCTGTTTTGAGGGTGGATTTTCGGGAAAACACATCTTGAGTCGTGGGGGTGTGTCGGACCCCCCACAAATAGCGGCTTTGCTGTTGGGTTTTGACATCGGTCCGTGTTACCTGTGAGATGAGGCCAAAGTTACGGGCATCAGATTGCCACGAATTGAATTCAGGTGAAGGGGCTTCAGAGCCAACCCGAAAGGGGAGTCATTGCAGCAAAGTGACGAGTCACCGCTATGTATTTCTCTATATCGGGGTGTTCTTGGTTTTGGAGTGATTCACTGGAGGGGAACAGAGGAATACATCGGGGTGTCTTAATCCGCTTGATGGGCCATGGGCCATACACCTCAGGTGGCTGAAGGGCTCTCGCCGGGAAACCGCCCCCAAGGGCAAGCTGTGGATTCCATCGAGATCTACTTAGGGCAGCATTTTCAGCCAGACAGGAACGATGCAGATTCGGCATCCAAATCAGGGTCTACTTGTTTGGGGCCAAGTGGGTAATTTAGTAACCAAGAAGGCTCACTTGTAAGTCTCTCGCGTGTTACAAACCCGGTAGCAAACTGCCTTGGCCAAACTTCCAAGTCCCTGGCCCTGGCTGCATTAAAAAGACAGACTAACACACACACAGACAAGCTGTTGCTGTGCTTTTGCTTTTTTTGCCACCCCCAAACTCCCCATGTTGACCCAGGATGAATAACCCCCTCTAGATGAATATGGGCGTGTTTTTCCCTGCTTTTAGTTGGGATGTTTTTCACTTTTGGAGGGGTGTTCTCCCCCATATCAAGAAACAGACGTTGATTCATCCGGGGTCAACAAATTACTTTTGCGCACTCCTCAGAGACCCGGATTCGCGCTCGTTCGAGGACCTGCCAGAGACGGTGCTTCCCCCGACGGCCCGGCCCCGGGATTTTCCTCCGGGACCTCTGCGGGGAGAGAAGCAAAAAACACTCTAGTGCATTTTGCTTAGCTGTTAGGACTTTAACTTTTTGCAAACTAATGGGTTTTCCACTAAACCACTAAAAGTTAAACTTTTAGCAGTCACAGCCCTCAGAAAAACATGGGGCTTGGTTTGAATGCTTGAATGGCTGGTTCTACCTGGTTTAGGGGTTCATGGTAGAACCCCAGCCTCTAGTTCGTCTGCCATTTGTTTGCAGCTCGCCGATCCAGCAGTAAAAGCACAATGATGAGTCTTCTTTAGTTGGGGATCCCTTCTTTCTGGTGTTGGAATTGTTGTAAAGTTTGCAGAGTCAATATACTGTTTTTGTCTTTGGGGGGCGTGGAGAACAACGGAAATAATTTCTGCATCCATCCCCCAATTGATGTACAGTGAGGGCTCTCCGTTCCCATCCGAAAAAAAGAGGGCTCCTTATACATGTCCCATGGTTTCCCTTGGTTGATAAACTGAACATCAGTTCGCCAGGGCCTCATCATTTCCAGTTTAGGATGGCGCTTGCTCCTTTTGAGCATTCCACAACAACACAATCAACAGCAGGAACAGGAACACCATTTCTTTTTGTCAGGGGGGGGGCTGGGGAAAACAAGCCACGCCCAAATGCAGTTTCGACTTTCGACGCTTGGGACCCGGTCCAGGTCCAACAGTACTTTTGAATTGCAAGCTCAGGGTAGAACGAACCAACGCAGAATGAATGTCGATTGATTGCTGAATCATAGTAATTTGCGCACTAAAATGGAATCCTCTCGATATTCGAGGTTTCCTTCAAAACTATCTTAGATTTCAAGGTTGACAAAATATTGGACATGGCAGAATCTACTTGTACCCCACTCGGGCAATGTCTTGTGCATAGCCGTAATTTGTGGTTGCTCACAGCCACCCCCACTGCACTCGAGAATGAGAAAGCATGAGTACGTCGCGAGCGGTGGGTTTTGGCACGCACGACGTGAAGCTGCAGTTGGGGACAGACTGAAGGAGGAATGCAACATCACCTTGGAATTGTCACCCGCAGTAACAGCCATCATCCAAGATACGATCAGGGAATCAGGCGACCGGGGAACGTCCATCCTGAACTACCTGCTGAACCTATGCCTGTCCTCTTGAACGAGTGAGCGAGTCAGCCTACACGTGCTTTTCCTTACAAGAATATGGCGCGCACGTTGCGGAGTTGTCAAACTGCTTTTTTGTTTTTGTTGGGGGGGGTGTCCTCATGCCGTTCAACAAGTAATCAAAGAGATAAGGCAAAGAGCATGAGCCCTCCATACCTCATGCCATTCAAAATGCCGTTCAACAACGAGAGCATCGCCTTGAAACCGGTCGAAGCCCGCAAGCCCTGCTTGGCCAATTAGTGGCCTGCGCACCAAAGGAAGAAAGCATAGTCATTCAGGGCACGGGGAAGTTGGAGGATGGACGGAAAAAAATAAAGATAATACCCTCTCTCCCACTAACATGGCACCTGACAAGGGGTCCCTCCAAGAGGAAACTGATCTTCCTGGTATCCTCCCGCAGGTGCCATGTTAGTGGGAGTAAGGGTCACTAAAAAATAAAGTTGACTATTGTTTACCACTAAAATGGTCTGACCCCCCCCCCCAAAGGAAAACACAATCCACTCCCTCGCAACCCCCCGTTCTCAAACAAGATCCGGCTTCTTTTGACACGTCCCAAGGCATGTCTGGGGGCTAAGCAACCCACAATATTGAGCTTAGGGGTGTCGACTCCAGATTTCTGATGCCCCATTTCGAGGCAACCCTGAATTAGGGAACGAGTGGGGAGCAAGTTGGAGGCCTTGCTTTTACCCCGTAATTCATGCAGTTTGCTTTTTGTTGGATGCCGCAAGCTCACGTTTGTTTCTTCTTCTTCTTCTTTCTTTCAAATATATATTATATATATTCTTTGCCAGACGTCCCGTTCCCTTTCAACTGTTTGCCTTGAACTTCCATTTCAAGAGTCAAACACATTGGCAGAGGGTCTAAGCCTGGCTCATTTAGCCAAACTCGCTTCCCGAGCCGCGAGTGGTTGCGCTATAGACGTTGTTGTTGGACACTTCACTCGATAAGGGAGCAGAGTTACTTTGAGTCAGAGGAAACTTGCTCAAGCCTCACGAGTTCGACTGTCAGATCAGTCCAAGTGTTTGTTCCCGCTTGTTTCGACTAATATTAACAACACCTGCTTTTTGTTTTGGGTGACTCCGCCGGGAGAAACCACCGCCTCGGATCAGGCGGCAGAGATGCTTTCGGCGGCCTCCGCTTCGATATCAGGCCTTTGGGCACCGAATTGCCCCGTCAGGAGGTTGTGGGTTCACGAATGGAAAAGACGGTGGGGGTGTCGTTTTTTGAGGGTGCCCTTTGTTGGGTTGTTTTGAAGGGAAACTAAAGGGAAGCCACCTTTTTCGGGGGACCCCCGACAAAAGCGGCAGACATGGGGGTCGGTCTTTATCAGATTCACATGGGACCCAAAACCTGCAGTTTTGGCGGATTCTCCTCGTCATCAACCCTTTGGGCGATGTTGATTTGGGGGAGGGGTAGACTCGAATCTCTGCCGATTCACAGGGAACCCACCACCAAGCTCCCAGAGGGAATGTGTTTTCGATCAACACACCAAAGGCGTTTTGGTGTCAACAGCCAGCCATTCCTTCAGCTTGGTTGCCCTTTGGGAAGGGCAACCTGGGGTCAGGGTTTGCTCCTGGAAAGCTGGTGGGGCGGGGAAGACAAGGAGATGAAGGCGAGCAAGTGGGCTGCTCACTTTCGGAGTGGTTTTGGGTTAAAATCGCTTGGCCCACGACCAAAGCGCGCGGATTGGGTTTTACAGGGGGATCAAACGTGAGGCGTCTCTGCGGAGCTCTCGCCCTCGGAAGTGGCAGTGCCTACCTTCGTGCCTGGGCCTTGGCGCAGCTGCTTTTCCAGCTTGGCATGGTTGAGGGAAACTTATCAGGAAGTGAGTTGTTTTGAGGGTTCCCTCATTTTCAGACACCTGGTGTTGTGTGCGTGTTTTTTTTTTTTCCCTTTGGGGGGGAGGGGTGGAGCCCTTGTCACCTGGAACCCCAATATATGTGAGACAGAAAGTTGAAGCAAGCATACCCTGCCCCCTAAGTCAAAGCGAAAACGAGGGCTTGTCCCATCCTTCCGGACTTTGTGCTGAACTTGAGGAACCTTGAGGACACCTCGCTGAGCTATAATGTGCCCAGGGTTCCTGCGCTGTTTCGACTCTCCTTCCCAAAGGACTCGGACCAACGAATTTCCGGAGGGGTAAGAGGCAAAGCCTGCGGTCTCTTTATTCAGCGGCTTAGAAAACTGATCCAACCTTTCACCGTCCTTGCCAGTCAGGCATTTGTTTTGCGCATATGTTCACTTTCTGGCTGCAAAACGACGCGCAGAGACTCACAAGGCTTTGCTGGGAGGCCCGCCAGCAGCTTCTGTAGCAAGCGGAACCCAGTTGCAGAGGTCGGTTTCATCCAGAGTATGCACGGCTGAGTCCCTTAGATCTTGCAAGTGAACCAGGCCCGACCACAAAAGCCTCGCTTGTAATTTTGCGGGGAAGCACCAGGTTTTCCAGCTTGTTCCCTGCTTGCAACATTTAGGACATCCACTGTAGCAACATGTTGCGTCAACAGGGGGATTGCCGTACTTTCAAGACCTTTGCTTCTTCGTATCGCAATAGCATGTGTGTGTGTTGTGTTGTGTTGTGTTGTGTTGTGTTGTGTTGTGTTGTGTTGTGTTGTGTTGTGTTGTGTTGTGTTGTGTTGTGTTGTGTTGTGTTGTGTTGTGTTGTGTTGTGTTGTGTTGTGTTGTGTTGTGTTGTGTTGTGTTGTGTTGTGTTGTGTGTGTGTGTGTGTGTGTTTTCCGTTGTTTTGGCGGCTAGGCGGCAGCATGAATATACTGTCCCGCCTGCTGAGTTGCGCTCTGACTTGAGGTGGATCAATGGATATTGCTTGACCAAAGCCGTCCTTCGAAGCGCGGCAAGCCACCCCCCCTTCCGTTGACCCAACATGTTGCAGTCGACGTTTTTGACCAGAGTTTGCCTCCTGACCCCCCGTTTAGAGAACCTGAAATCTGAAGCAACACGCATCCCGGCACCCTCGCAAGGCCCTCCCCAACGGAGGCGTCGATAGCTGGGCGGCCCAGAATTGAATGATCGAGGTGACCGAATACCCCTAGAAAGTTAGCCAACGGTTTCCTTTTGTTTCCCTCACTCCCTGAGTTGCTGGACTTTGCTTCGGGTTGGACCATAGTGGTGAAAATTGGAAGTTTTGGGAGCTTTTGCTATGAGAAGTGAGTTCCCTTCACGACCAACTTTCCACTTTCTTGTTCTGTGGCGCCCGGAACTCCGTTGCGAGCGGTGGAGTTCCGACATGGTCAAACCCGAAACGAAGATGGTTATCCCGGAAGACTCCTCCGGACAAATCAGAGGTGTGTGTCCTTTGAGTGGGGGATGGATCCAGTTGCGCATTTCTTTGATTGGTAAGGCCCGGAGTAATGCGAAGTGTCGGCGCAACCGGTTTCGATTCGGAACACCAGGCTTGCTCCAAGCCTTTGAGCGATGACCAAACCAGCAGTCCTTGGAAGGGCACTGGGAATGGCTGGGGTAGACTTAGGATACATTTTGACATTGTACCAGTGACTCAAAGTGAAGCAAACCATAAAATGTACATTGTAGAACTGGGCCCAACTCTAACCATGACGCTTCGGGAGACATCAATGCGCTGATCCCCGACAGACAGGACTCTGACGCTAGGACTGCTTGCAGTCCAGCGGCGCATTCTGCGAAGTGGGCCTCACTGGGGTTCGACTCCACCGCTCCGTGGACAAAGTATCGGTTGTTCTTTTTGTATTTGGGTGCGCAATGCACAGTATTTGTTCCCACAACACAGAGGAGTTAAGGAACCGGGAGGCGCTAAAGAGGGTATGATAAGTGGAAGCATAGTATTTCAGGCGCTGTTGTGCTCGTTTGTCCCATGCAGACAGCTTACACTCGCGTGGGGTGTTTTTTCTTTGCCATCACCCAACGCAGTTGTTCCGACCACGCAGGCGTCGCTGGCGGACTGAATATTTGTTGGGGAGGATTGCTTGTCCTGCCAGGGACCGTTCTTCTACCCTTGAGAAAAAGCCTGGGCTTGGGGTTTTCTGATTGACAGAAAGTGCAGCACGACCCAGGTAGATTCTGCCGTTGCCAACAGGGTGAGGGGAATACCACGTGTTTTTGATGGAGCTTGGACCCCGAGTGTCAAGACATAACATTAGGGGGTAGACCGGGCTTCCCCATGCTGGAGGTCTCTGACTTAAGATGCAGCGATTCCGTAGGGATCCCGTAGTCCTGGTTGCCGAATCATCGTATATAGTCCAGACAATCATGTTTTTGTTTGCGAATTAACGTGGAACCCCAGAAGCGAGTCAACCAAACAGAGATTCTCTCTCGAAACTCTGCTTTCTTGGGGGGGTGTCCAGGATTCAATGTTAATCTCTGGGAGTGTGCATAGCCATGATATCAAATTGTCGCTTGCTGTTTGGCTGAAACGGCCCCTCGCCTTTGCGGAGGGGGGTTCCCTTGACATTCTACCACGGGGTACATACATACATACATACATACATACATACATACATACATACATACATACATACATACATACATACATACATACATACATACATACATACATACATACATACATACATACATACATACATACATACATACATACACATACATACATACATACATACATACATACATACATACATACATACATACATACATACATACATACATACATACATACATACATACATACATACATACATACATACATACATACATACATACATACATACATACATACATACATACATACATACATACATACATACATACATACATACATACATACATACATACATACATACATACATACATACATACATACATACATACATACATACATACATACATACATACATACATACATACATACATACATACATACATACATACATACATACATACATACATACATACATACATACATACATACATACATACATACATACATACATACATACATACATACATACATACATACATACATACATACATACATACATACATACATACATACATACATACATACATACATACATACATACATACATACATACATACATACATACATACATACATACATACATACATACATACATACATACATACATACATACATACATACATACATACATACATACATACATACATACATACATAGTTACATTACTTTACATTACCTTACCTTACCGTACATGACCTTACATGCATGCATACGTACAGTGTTGGGGGGGTTAGTGGTCCAGGGGTTATGTCCGCACGCGTCTTTTTGCAGCGGCTGCAGAGTCACGCCCCGCCTCAGGATCCACCAGCTACCACAGCCACGGCCACCGCGATGGCATGGGTCCTGGCTGAGCGCACGTTTGTCACGCTGACGGGTTCTGACGGGTTTGTCAAGGGACTAAGACGGGATCAGTACAGCTGCCATTTGCTGAAATTAGTATTTGGACGTTTCCCCTGTCGGTTTTAAAGGGAACCTCTATCTTTACTGGTCATGTGTTCACTTTTGTCCTGGGGACCTAAACAATTGGAGGACGGTGTAAGTAATAAGGGTTTCTATATTTGGTCCGTTAATGCGCCTGACTCAGACAAATGAATACGGCAACGGCCAAAGAAGGCCAACAGGGACCTGTCTGCCGAGGCGCCCCGCACAGCGAGCGACCACCCTACCGAAGCGGTACAGCTGGACGGGGGCGAATGGGGCGAAGTCGAGAAAGCGGAGTGGCCAAAAAAACTTGCCCTGCTCACATTCCTAAAATGAGCTTTTAGGCTGCGGTCCCCTCCAAAAGTATGTTGTATGTTAGGCCAGAATCTGAATATGTTTTGTTTTGCATACCGATTTGGGGCCAAGCAGAGGGGTTCTCAAAACTAGGCCTTGGGAGTTGTTTCCTTTTGTACCAATGCTTTTTGGACTGTCACTTTGTTCTTTAAGGCAATCCAAACGCCCCTTGCAAGGACACCCAGCTGTAAGGAACCCCCAAGGAAAGAGGTCTTGGGTTTGTTCCCTTAGCGGACCAGTTCGGGTTTTTCTTCCACCTGCGTTGTCCAGCTTAAGCAGCCCGAGCTGTCAGAGGATAAGAAACTCAGCGAGTTGAGACGGAACCGCCCTCTCTGTCCTTATAGCGGGGGGAGGTCGTATTCCGAGCAGTGCTTAGGCCGATTGTGGGAGATTGCCAGTCAGTGCGATCCCCCCCAGTTTTCGCCAGAGTTCTCCTTTTTTGTTTTTGCCGTGGAGCAAGCTGCCGGCGAGCCGGCGGAAGTGGAGGGCCACGAAGGAGGGCCACGTGAATAGATCCGTTGCGATTGCCGCGAGATGACCTAAGCTTTTCCTGACTTCTGCAACACCGAACATTCAGCTTTTCGACCCTCGGTCTCCCCTCGCCGGTTCAGCTTCGCATCTTTGAAGATGTTCTTGCGAGGCTTCATTGCAGAGGCCCAAAGTTGTTGCCTTGGCAGGTCAGCAGGAAAGTTCCGGCCTGACACATGCAACACCAAACGTTCAAACGATTGACGTGACAAATATATCGTGTTTTGTTTGGTTTTGTCCAAGCAGAAGGAACTGCGCAAACCCCTTTAGAATAAGATCTCTTTTCGGAAGCTTGGCCAGACCTCAGGTTTCGAACAGACCGTGCGGACCACTTGGATAGATCGATGCCAAGCGTAAAGCGGATATGAGTCCATTCTTTGCATTCTGGGCACCATAGAAGCTCCAAGGCCCCGCGCCAAAGGCCAAATGGGGCAAAGAAGCCAACCGCGCCCAAATCAAACATGAAGGGCAGCCAAGTGGCTGCTTCTTTCCAGACATGTCACTCTGCCTCCCACCATCCCGGAAGTGGACAGGGTCTCCAAACGAAAAGTAGTCTTCCAAAACCATCCTGTCAGCTTCTATGATTGGAAGGAGGGTACCCTAAGAACAGTCACAGCTGGGAACAAACCGGCGGTTCCGGCGATCCTTCGGGCGGTTTGCTTGGCTGTTTGGCTCCGTCCAGGAAGCAGCAAGTGCCTTGCCGGGCACCCAGAAGCCGTGAGAGAGGGGATTGATTTGGGCAAATCATATCAAGAGGCCAGCTGGGAAAACGAGCGCACACGAGACGATGACGGCAGTGCAATGGGTTTGTAATGTATTGCTTCGATTGGAGATTCGCTTGCTTGCTTTATTTATCGGGCTGGCTTGGCTCGGGTTGTTTTGCTTTGAGTGATTGGCTAGTTGTCGGTCGGCGTTGGTTGATGGGCAGTCAAAAGGGCATGTATGCCTGTTGGAGCACACTCAAAAAGCTGCCTTCGAAAAGCTAGCATGAGCATGGGTTGCTACAGGGGTCCTCCTATTCCCCTTTTTGGCTGATTTCAACATCACCTTTCTGGCCATGTCAAGAGTCTCCTTTTGCGTGAGGTGGAAGGGGAGAGGACACTTGTCACAAAGCCCTTGAGCAGCAAAGTCACCAGTAGGCATGACCTTTTCATGGCCCAAGGATTGTTTGCCTTGGGTCCGCATTTGAAATTGACCCAGTGGACATTGGTAAATGTCGGAGTCTCCTCGCTGTAATTGACATGGGTAAATTTCAGAGTGGGAAACGTAGAGGATTCGCCCGCCCCCCGCAAATAGATCACAGACCCGATATGTTGCCAGAGCCTCATGTGGGTCATCGTGGTTTCCCCCCTTAGGAACTCCAACAATGGTTGTCTAAAATAGTAAAGGGGTCATGCCCGGCGCTGACTAGGTCCTCTAGTAGAGAGGTTAGAATAAGGGTACCCCCTTTTTCCTCAAGCAGGGTGGCTCTGAATCAATTTTGTCTCAAATACTGACCTTCCCCCCCCAAAAAAAAAGAACGAAACACAAACAAAGGAGGAGTTGTTTCCTTTTGGTGTCCTTCTGGTTTATCTTCCAAACCATACAACAGGAGGACCATCAAACAAATACATCCACATGATTCTGGACTATTCAACAGCTCACGAGACACGGACAATACAAAGTACGAACTGCCCCCAATTTTTTCGAGCACATACGCGGGATATTTGGCTCAGCCATGTCCTCTCCCAATGAACAATCGACCTTTTGGTTTCGCCTTGTCGAGCTGTGCTGGTGGCCAGCTAGATGGCGTGGAACAACAGACTACCGCTAGTCTCGGTGGTTCCCAGCCATCCGGTTCCTTAGGTTTTTTGCTTTTTAGTTGGTCTATCGGTTGGTTTCCATTTCACAAAAGGCTTTAACAACTTTTAGTGGGCAATCCGAAAACAAACAACCCCAGATTTCCAGAACGTTCGAAATTCCCGCTGAGAACCAAGTTTGGAAACCCTTGGCTCGTCCCCGGCGTTTCTTTTTTGCGAGCGCAGGCCTCGGTTCTCAGCCCAGAGTTCAACGAATTGGGTTCTTGTGGCCCCAAGGCTCGCCCTTTGGTTTTTAATTGGGGAACCAGAAGGCGAACCCACCATTTTTCTTTTGTTTGGGGGGGGACCTTTTGAACAAGGCACAACTTGTTCGCCCTTTGGTTCCATGCTTTGCGTTTAGAAAGCAATTAGTTGCTGGTTGACCATGAACTTACATCCAAGAGGGCTAAGGCGAGTTTTTTTTTGATCCATCGACCTTGTTTAAGGCTTATGTTTGCTTTTTCCTGCGCTTATCCAGCCTCCCTTGAAGGTCAACTGGTTCGACCACCTGCTACAAAGGGACCTAGAAGCAACCGATGAGTTGGATTACCTCACTTCGCCTGCTCTGTTTTCCGCTGGTTCCGAAGGAGACGCATTTTGAGGGGTGCCTCAGAAAGTTTGGCTTTGTTAATCTAGTCCGGGGTAGCCTTAGGAAACATGTTGCATTTTCCCAGTGACTCAAAGTGAAGCAAACCATAAAAGATACATTCTACAACTGGGCCGAACTCTACTCACGTTTGGGGTCCGCGTTTGCGGAGGCACACCTCTGCCCTGGAGTCCGGATCGTTGCCGGGTTCCCCGAGGGCTTTGAGCCGAGGGTTGAACAAAAACGGCGGGACGAGGGGTGTCTCCCGTGAAAAAGATAGATCTCCTCCATGTGGCACGGACTAATCAACCAGGTATGTCTGAACCCTGTTCCCCCCCCCCTTCAGAAGGGGTTCGTGGCGGTTCCTTTCCCTTGCTTGATTGGTGACTAGTAAGTTAGGTCTACACAAGCCTTTGCAACCGTCTCCAGCTTGTTCAGTAGCATTCTTACTGACTGCTATTGCGTTGGTTCCTTAAACTTTTAACTTTTCGGGAAATAAAGGTGTTTACCACTAAATCCCCCAAGGGTTAAAAACTTTTTGCAGGGGGGTCAACAGCAACCAAGCTTACACTCCCTTTTTGTTTAGGCCAACCCAAAGGAAGGCCAAGACGAGGCCAAACGGAGCCTCTTGCTTGAATATAGAAACGGGTTGGGACACATACTCCCGCCAATTCACGTGTAGAACCTGGCCGGAGGTGCATGGAAGACCATTATGCTCATACGGGCACCTTGGGGTGGGTTCCATATTATATAGTAGGTGGGAGTTTAACCGTCAATTGCGGCTCAATTGCGGCAAGCCACTCCCTTTGGGGCCGGGCCACATGGATCCCAACAAGTAGCGCTTGACAGTTGGAAAAGCCTTTGGGGTGGGTGGTTTGGATTGGGTCTCTAAACAGAAGATCCGCGTGACTAGTAACTGGTTTCCCCACAATCCAATGCTAGTGTGAATTAAGGCATGAACCAGGGTTCATAGGACTTATTTTCGCCTTTTGGGGGGTTTAGCTTTGGGTTTACCTTTGGTCTCCCTGCTTTGGGACATCTGCAAAAGCAACCTTTGAGACCACATCCCCGACAAGGCGCCCGTTTTGAGGAAGTTGGTCGTTTCCTGGTGGTTTCTTTGTGGCTTCCTACGGGGTCTTTTATTCGGGCGCATTTTCCGTTGACTCCGTGGACTCCCTGCTGAGAACGAGCAAGTCTTAGGTTGGAAGTAGACTCGAAGCAAGAACAAATCCCCAAACATATATGATTGACTTGATCAGTTCTTTTTTTCGATGGCGCCTTTTTTTTCCCGGTTGGTTTAAGGAGAAACCGAAAGGAACGCCAATTTTGAGGTTACCCTGTTTTGAGAGGAACCCATATCCCAGTTGTTCGGTTCTCTTGGAATTTCCAGATTTGTCATGTTGACCCGGCAATACTGGAGCAAGAAGCTCAAAACCCTAGCCAAAAGTGGGAAGGCAGCAATAGCTACGCCGAGTTACAGGGATTAACAGAAAACATATTCACAGGGTTATCCATTGTGGGATTCCATATGATGGGTTTCTCCAAGTTAGGGATCCCTTTTGGAATGGTTCTCTTTAGAGGTTTCCCCAAAGGAAACGAAAAAGGGGCCTTTTGAGAAGCACCCACCTCCCTTGGCTGTTCCCAGCCGTCCGGTTCCAGTTGTTTTTAGGCTTTTTCAGGCTTTTTTAGGCTTTTCAAGGCTTTTTTTTTTCGGGTTTCGTGTGGGTTTCCATCTAACCCGCTAAAGGTTTCATCCTTCCAGCCGGAGATCCGCAGATCCTTTTCGAAGCCAGGGCTTCTCCCACCGAGCTGCCGGTGCCCACCGAGATGCAGTCCCCGACCTCTCTGGGAGAGGCGGATCGAGAGACTTGCGGTGGTTGGAGTGGAATGGACCTGGGCGGCTCGTCCGCTTCTTTTTTTTTGTTTACGGCCGAAGCCCAAAGAATGATGTGGTTTCCTGTTGGTGTTTGGTTGTGAGTCAAAACGGGCAGCTTCAAAAAAAACAGATCCAAAATATGGTACTGGGGGCCCCAAAATGGACACCGAAGCTGAACCCTTCCTTTGGTTCCCCCTAACCCAAAGAGGGGTACCGAGCCTCAAAACTAAAAAGCAGACCTGGATTGGTGGAACAACCCTGCTGTGGTGCCAGCACAAAGGGAAACTGGGGTAGTTTTGTGCGCTTGTCAAACTTGCTTTTGTTTGCAACGGCAAGCTGCAGTAAGGAATTTGGTGTTTCCGGATAGCTGACTTTTCACTGACCCTTAGGATTATGAGAGGAATTAGTATTGGCATACCTTGGGAATGAGCGTTCCTCCAGAATGTGAGCCACAATCAAAACTCGGTAGATGTGTTCTTTCTTGTTTTAAGTCCTCACATGGTTCTGGGTAGACCATTTCAATAGCAGGTTTTGATTTTGACTTGTGCGAAGAACGTGGGACACCCGCGTATTAGTCAACCATGGGGAGTTGATTCAGTGGTAGGCGCCTATGATTAGTTGATCGAACCATTCATGGTTAAAACCTACCCACTTAATACAAACATAGAACCTACACAGGGGTTCCTGGAAGACCACCACCTTCCTATGCAGGTTCCATGTTTGCTTTTGGGAGGGTACCACTGAAAAACTCACTTCCTGAGTTCATGAACTTTAGTGGTAAATATAAAGTTTGGACTTTTTTTGGGCCATCCACTCAGCAAGTGAGAAAATGCTTGAGCATCCAAGCAGCGCCCCTGAAACTCCGTCAGGTGGACTATGAGGATGGCGTGCCCACCGTCCCCGTGCAGCTCTCGGCGAATCCCCGAATCGATTGGCTCAGGGTCTCGGATGAATTTCCGGGGGACCAATCACAGGAACCCCCCCCCCTATAGATGGTTTTTGCTGCAAGGGAGAGCCTGGGTGGTCCCTCGGAGCAATCCCAAGTGGACATTTCCTGAAACTCAACAATTCGGTTTTGCGGAGCTCTTGTCCAAAGCTATTTTATGTTTCAGGGTAGTGTTGACCCCGGGTGAATGAACTCGTGCTGTTAATAGGGGGTTTCCTCCAAAAGGGATGAATCCTCACCCGATCAAAATCAAGCAGCTCTCCATTAAAGCCAAGTATGCAACAGAATCTGAGTATGCAACCGAATTTGGTTTAGCGCCTTGGCGTGATGAGACTGGGTTTGTGGGATAGGCCTATTTCAGTCATGGGGCCTGGGAGAAAAGGGAGGGGAGTGGGGAGGGAGCCCTCCCTCCCCAGGAAGTCAGGATAGTGAACTTTTAGCATACTTTTTGGCCGGTCTCTGTGGCTGTCACAGCCGGTCTCTGCCGAGTGACAGGTGCCGGGTTGGGTGAAAGAAACGGAAAAACTCAAGAGCTCTTTGGGGAGGGGGCTGCAACTCGTTGTGGGACCAAGAGGTTTATCCAACCACTTCTGTGATACAAGTTGGAGTCTCCCCCTTTATCCGGGGAAGTCTTTGGGAAGCGCTTTTTGTTGTATCACAGAAGTGGATTCCATTTCCCACAACCCTGCTGCAACTTGTTTTGGCCTGTTGTGCCTTACAGAAGGGACCGCAATGTCAAAGCCTTCAGAAACAGAGGGCCAAAGTTTTAAAGGGGTTCTGATCGGAGAATCATGCGTATCCGATTTGTGAACCCTGTTAGAACCCGTTGCCCCAAATGGACGAAGCCCATTTCTTGGAGATCTAGGCTTACCCAAAACCTGCTCAACCCCTGCGACGGCCGAGCGAATCGAATCCCGCTCGAGGCCCCAGAGGCAGCTGGCGGCGCAGGTGGGCCGCGGCGTTTGCTGGCTTCGCAGCGGTGGGACGGATCGGTCCCGGGCCCCCCAAACAGATCCCAGGCGAAAGGGAAAACAAGGGTAGGGCTCAAAATTAAAGAGCTGGGGTTACGCGGGTTTTAGTCTTTGGTTCCATTTACCAAGGTGCCATTTTGGTACCACTTTTTTGAGCCGCAGCCACAACACCGGCACCTGGTTGTTTCATGCCAAGACAGCTTGCTGGTTCGATAGGCAGGGAACGAGAATTGGAATGCCACCAAGAATCACCATCCTCTATGGTTCCCTGTAAGGGAATCTCCAAGGTTCATTCCCAACACCCTGGTTTTTTTTGGTTGCTTCAGATGGAAGGCAGATAGCAAGCAACAAGAGTGCCCCATTCCCTCTTGTGTTCACAGCAGCCACTGGTTCCAGCTAGGGGCAGAAGGCCTGGAGTTTTTGCCTTGAATTCAGAGGCTTGACTCACTTGCCCAGTATCGCTTGAGCAACGGAACATGCTCTTTTCGTGATACCAACTTGGGCACCCTTGTAGGTAATTTGCTTCCGTTTAGCAAACTCAATTCGACGTGGATGGTCGGAAGCCTGTCATTTGTGCCATGGTCAACCGCCCTCCCTACTTTTTCTTTGGGGTAGTTAGGGATGGTTCTGAATTTAAACCGTTACATGGATTGTTCTTTGGAGCCACAGCCAGCTAGTTAGTCCAGCTAGCCAGCCCATAGAATGTTGACCCCACTTTTGGAGGGGCCTGCATAATATGGATCAACATTAAGCCCCAACATTAAGCCCCAACATTTCACCAGGAGCCTGATTCATATGGTTCTGGGTTGAATGTGGATTTAATTTTGGTTTTGGAACGTTAACATTGGGTTCAATATGGTTCCTGGTTTTGATAATATGGTTTTGGATTTAATATGGGTCAACATTAAGCCCCAAGATTTGATCAAAGTCGTAGAGGTTGGGCGTCCTGCTAGGCGTCTCGCAACCCTTCAGCTCACCGGAGATGCCGGTGGCTCGCCCCCAGACAGGTGTGGAACCCCCAAAGGGCTTTTACAGGAAAAACCAGAAAGACGTATTGGTAGTGGTGGTACCGGGGTCAAAAATGGTGGTACGGGTACCCCTAATAAGCAATTGGTGTTAGCGCTTGGAATTGCGGGGGCCCAATTCACCCGTTACCGGTCCCGTACCAAATTTTTGGTATTCCCACTAACCAGGACCCCCAAAATAACGCAAACATGATATGTTGGTGTCCGGGGTTTTCATGAGCGTCCCTTTGAAACAAATTCCTTGAAAATACGCTCTAGATACACCCATGTTTCAAGTGGCAATAGGAATCCCAGCAGAAATGCCCAACTTTTGTTGGTGAATCCGGTGCGAACCCCCGAGACCCTGTCGGGTGCTTGTCGGGTTAAGTTTGTTTCCGGTTGCGGCGTTGTTGCTGTAGCATGGCTGGAACCCTGAATCATGCTTGCCACATCATCCATACGTGTTCCCTGTCAATTCCACACCCCTTTCAAGCTGGAATTGGGGGGAGCGGCGACTCCTGAAAATCCGCTTGCGCATGGATGCCTGAATATGACCATGATCATACACATATGCCATGATCTTTGCGACGATGTGTCAATAGCAGCAAGGGACAACAGGGCAATTTTCGGTGTCAGTTTTGTAGGCTAGCCCTTTATTGGTGCATTGTCGGAATATTCAGCTGCTGATAACTATTTGCCCCCAATAGGCCAGGCCATTTGCCGCGTTGGAGGTCCCCCTGTTGGAGCCCCTGGACAACCACAGGATCAGCGCATTATGCTGTACGATGATGTATCTAAATTCTGAATCACTAGCTGTGTGACTGGTAGTTAGTTTACCGTTGGTTTGGGGAGGAGCACCACCCAACTTCCCCTCAAGTGATGCAGGGGGACCACCTAATTGTAAACGCTTTTGGCTGCTGTGTTTTGGTTTGCCTTGACGTGTTGTGTTTGTTTGAGTGAGTGAGTCGGCGCCGAAATGCGTGAGCTGGTTCCCAAGATATATGGTGGTGCATGAACGAGCCGCAGTCTGAGAGCAGAAGGGCAGTGGACTGAGCCCGAGCGAAGCCAAGGACGGTTTGGGGAAGATTTGACCGGTTTCTAGGGTGGGATTCCAGTGGAGGCTGGACAGCTTCTACTGGGGAATTTGAGATTGCTAAGGGGACATTTGACCGGTGTTTCGGGGGAGAGGGATTTCTAGGGCGTTTGGGCTGTGGTCCCGTGCCCCACGAGCAACAAGAAAGGTTCTGCACGGAGTATTGGGCGTAGCAATCAGGACGGCGGGCAGGATCCAACCACGCCCTCCTGAGATTGCAGACGGAGCACTCTGCAGCGACTGCGGCTGACCGTGAGCAGGATCTGGAGGAGGACAGCCACTGCGGGTCATGGCCGTGGCAGGATCTGGAGGAGGAGCAGCTGCAGCATCAAAGGTTTTCAGGGGGCGCAGGGGCCTGATGTGGCACCAGGCGACAGCTGCTTTTGGAACTGGGAAATCAAAAGATGCTTGAATATTTCCAACATATTCATTATCGCGGGCGTTTCCCTTAATGTTAGTATCCCTATCCAGATTCTCAAACTCCTTTCATCCAAGAAAAATGCAGATTCAGAGCCTTTGCAGGCCTCGGGCTTTCCCTATTTCATGCATGAGTCTACATGGCTCCTTTTTTGATGGTACCCTAGGCCTAGGTTTTTTCCCTTCGTGGCTCCCAGCCATCCCGTCCTTAGTTTTTTAAATATATTTTTGGTGTTTTCCTGGTTGGATTTCCAATTTCACCCGCAAGTTGGTCACTTTTAGCAGGGCATCTGAAAACGGACGGCCCAGATTTCCAAAACCCTTGAAATTCACGCTGAGAACGAGCAAGTTTCGAACCCTTGTCCCTTTTTTGACACCTTGCTCCCCCAGTAGTGCCCTTTCTCACCAACTTTCTGGGGGGAGGGTTCCCCTAAAATCGACTACAGAAAAAAGTTGGTACCCTTCTTCTAACCTCTGCGCAGGAGGACCTGGGCACCCCTTCTGGGGGGTAAATTGCCCATGTCGCCTGAGGTGCCGACCGAGAGGCCGTCGGCCTCGCAGGATCTGGAAGAGACGGTGACGGCGCGAACTCCGTCGCCGAAGCCGTGTTTCGAAGAATTCGCCGTGCAGATTCACCTCTTCCATTTGGTTAAGAATATATTTCCCCTGTTGCTTTCAAAGGGAATCTATCACTACCGGATTTTTTCCGGGAAGCTTAAGCAAATGGAGCACCGGTAAACTAAAAGAGGTTTGCTTTTGGAGGAAACCCCATTTTTGGGGCAGTTTTTTTTTTGGGGGGGGGGTTGAACCAAACAGATCTCTGTTTTTAGAGGACCCCCAATTTTGGGGGGATATACAACGTTTTACCACACCGGGCGTAGGGACTCCAGCTTGGAGAACAAAGGAAATTACCCAACCCCCTAATTTCGGGTTCCTTTCTGTAGAATTTCAGGTAACCCTCAATTGGTGGTGCGCACTACCCAAAAAGCCGAGCTTTGGTTATTTTCTGGAGGACGGCATTGTGACGGCATACGGTAGACAAGAGACAATGCTCAGCTTCCCTTTGGTGGTTAGCCCGGTGGTTTGGGTGTCGCGCTTTCAAAGGGTTCAAATCCCCAAACCATCAGGCTGGCGGGCTGAGGCGAGTTCTCAAGGAAGAGTTTGCTGGTTTCTTTTTGATCCAGGGTTGTGGGATCAAGGGGTTTTCTCTATCTACTTCTGTGATACAAGGGAATCCCCTGTTATAAGAACAAAAGAGTCTTTGGGAAGCCCTTTCAGTTGTATCACAGAAGTGGTCATTCCCCACAGCCCTGCTTTGATCTGTTTGCATTCTTTTGGAAGGTTTGTAGTCTCTCTGCTTCTCATGGAACGCCGGCTTGTGGCTGTGCGAATTCCTCTTTGAGTCAACATCAGTTTCAAAAGGCCTAACCATGATTCATTAGCTTAGCTAATCCTTTTTGCCATCCATCATTCTCTCTTGCAACTAATAACCAGTGAACATGTTGCAGGGGGTCTAAGTTTTGCAAAGGTTCGACCCCCGATGGGTTCCTTTTCGCTTGCTCAAAGGGGACCGCCCTGGGTGTTGCCCTCCCAGCAACATGGAAGTGACACATGGGAAGTCTACAAATAGATTTCGGACCCGCGTGTGTGCTTGGCATTTAAAGGGAAGCCAAAAAGCGACCAACGTTTTTTGTTTGGGGGGGGACCGATTCTTTTGAGTTCATTTTTGGTTGAACAAACCAAAAAAGGGTACCGAGCCTCAAACAAGAATACACCCACACCCTTTCGGGGCTTTAAAGAGAAAGAAGCCAAAGGAAATGCCGCCACCGACACACCCACATACCCGGCTTGGCTCACTGCCCAACTTCTTGCTGGCGCAGGTGCCGCAGAGACTAGCATCCTCTCAGGCGATTCCGTGGAAGTTCCAGCTGGTGATTCGGGTGCGAGAGAGCGATTTGGGGCATGCGGGCCCAACTCGGACATGGATCCGATTTCAGATTTCAGGTTTTAAGGAATTATTAGAACGTGTAGGATAAAAGTTCAGATTCTTGCTTTTGCCTCTTTAAGTGGCCGCCATCTTTTTTGTTTGTTTTTTCCCGAGAATCTTAAGGGTCCAGTGATGAGTTTCTCTTGAAAGCACTAAACGCATCTTTTCTGTTTGTTTTTTCCCGAGAATCTTAAGGGTCCAGTGATGAGTTTCTCTTGAAAGCACCAAATGGAGACGGAGATGTGTTTTGATTCTTCCAGACCCTCTATTTAGCACCCAGCGCAGTCCCATCAATTCGCATGCCGTATTAGGTTCTTCCTTTGGCCGGTTTCACCCCGATGAAGTTGCCCGCTTCCATCCGCTTTGTCAGTACTCACGGCGGCCCGCTCTTGCATCGCAGAACGAGTGTTACTGACCACAACCATGTATCGAACTGCTGCAAGCGGGCAAAGAACTGGAATCTGGATTCAGGGATGCTGTAAACCAAGTCAAATCATGATCCTCGGAAGAAAGTGCTAGTAGTTATGGAATTAGGCCAGCATAGCGGTGCTACATGTAATACACCCCTTCTCTCTAGCAGTGGTTCATGTGGAAAGTGGACACGTCTTGGATTGGACCATGATGGTTCTTTGGTTTGCCTTTTAATCGCTTTAATAATTTGGAGAAATCACGCGAAATGTACTCTATACTGTTGAAGCTGTGCAGTCGGGTGGGCATTGCGGAGCATGAGCTGGTGAATTGGCTGTGTGCCAGAAGCCCATTTTCTACCTTTTCCGGGCGGTCCCATCGTAATAGGGAAGCCTTTTTCACAGGTCACTGGAGCAATGGAGAAAGATTTGATCCTCAATCGCCAAGTCGCTGCTTTCTTCAGTGACTGTTGCGATCGGTTTTTGGGGTAAAGTGCATGGAACAAAAAAAGCGATCGCAGCTGGCGATCCAGGATGCCACGTTTCCCCCGGCCTGAGCTGTCAGAATGGGAAGCTCGTGCCAGTTCATGGAACTTAGCTTTTGAGGTTTGGACCATTTTGGTGAAGCTCCATCAAAAACCCCAAGCTCCCGAACCCGAACCCGAACCCGCCAAAAGATCTTCCCAAAATGTATCAACCCCCTTTTGGTTGCGTTTTTGGACCAGTGCGGAACACACAACTCATTGATTGCCGCAGGCGGTGAGTAGCGGCCTCAGCGTGGTCAGCTCCCCTACGGCAGGGCAGCCCAAGACGAGATTTGGGCTCGGCTGATGTCAGCCCAACTTGGTGCTTCAAGTCCTGGGGTCTTAGAAAACGAATAAGGCAAGTTGAGTTTCCCTCATCCAAAAAAAAACAAGAAAAAACAATCAAACAAACAAACAAACAAACAAACAAGCAGAAAACAATGAATAAGGTTGCCGCTTAGGCGCCTTATTCAACCAGTCCGGCTCCTGGGGTGTTTTCGGCTCTTGAGTTGGTTTCGCGGGCCCAAATTTAGCCGACCAAGTCTTCGACTTTTAGCAGGCGGCCCGAAAAACAAAACAGCCCGGGTGACTGAAGGAGGGACAGTCCCGACCAGAACTTGGAGCAAGCACGTTGGTAGCCCTGCACCTTGGTTTGGGTAGACTACGATGGTTTTGATTACTCACTTGGGACCGGGGGTTTCATGGATGCTTGATCAGTCTATGCTTCATTTGGGAGGGACCTGGGGGCTCACGAAATTTCACCAAGACCAGCAACAACTCTCCCAAAAACCCACGGCTCAAGTGGCCGATATATATATATATATGTATCATAACATATATATATATGTATATATAATATAATATATATATATATATACACATCCATGGGTTGTGCTCCTCCACCGTTTCGGCACCAGCGTTTTTGGTGCCAGGCTGCCTCAGGGCCATCTCGGAAGCCCGGTTTCAAGGGTCCAGTCGAGTCGCTGAGATAAGTCGACCGCCTGCGGGTTCCTGGTGGTGTCAAAAAATGACTCATACCCGTATGTGTCCAACTCTTGGCTCTTTTTTTTTTGGGCCGAAACCTGATCCAGGAGCTCCCAGTGCCCACGGAGATGCCTTCACCCTCCTCCCCTGGCGAAGGCGCGGGACCTGAGTTTCGGACGCCGGGATGGGGGGAGGGTCCTGGAGAGGTGGTGGACTTGATATGGTTGTGGCTCAAAATTCAAGGACCAAAAGCACCCAGCAGATGTTGCGTTTGTTCCACCTGCCGGGCCGGTGGAAATGCCATATTTCATATGAAAGCAAGCAATGCTTAAGATTCATCTGCGGAAACTAGGGCAATATTACCAGGGTATCACTGGTATCACTGCTATCACTTTGGATAGCCCCCTATCGTTTTTTGAGGTGAATGGGTGTTATATTGTATTGTAGCTCTGGTTGATTGAAGCATTGTAAGCATTGGCTCTTCTGAGCTTCGCCCTAGCGCAAAAAAATGGCCGAACACTCCCCATTCTGTTCAGGGATCTTTCTCTTCAACAACCCTCGGAAAATGGGTGGTCTCGGCAGAACATAATGGCCACCTTGTTGTTTTAGGGAGACGGGGGTTGAGCCAAAACATGAGCAGGAGTGTGTGTGCGTGTGTGTGCAAAACGTGCTTTGCCATGTTGTTCCTTTGTGAAGCTGGGGCTCAGCTGCTGAGTTGCCCAGTTTGTCCGCTCAAGCTCAGGCAGACTGACGGAAATGCAACAGTATTTTCTCACTTTGACCAGTTCACTCTGGAAGCTTCTGAAAGCAAGGCCTTTACGCACCGAGGTCCTTTGGTTGCAAGTGAGAGTCAGGCCATATCCATGAAAGGAAGGTCCCTGCTTGAAGACCCTGTTTGAAGGAGAACAAGTCCAAAAGCGGGCTTGCCCATGAACATCCTTGGTGGTACGGCGAGCTCGCCCATGATGAAGGTGCTTCGTGAGTTCCTTACTTCCATATTGTGAATCATGGTGATTTGTCCCGAGAAACGACCCTCCATTGGAGGGGGTGAGAAAGTAAATCCATCTCCTGTTTGAGCAGCCCTGTTTAAACCAAGCAGAAAGGTTTGAAGGACCATGTTTGTAAGCTGCTTCGTGGAAGGGAAATCCACTGGGCACAGCCAACTCATCTGGAGCTCCCCATGACTTTTGAGGTGAACACGAAGAACGCGCTTTGTTTGCTTTAGAGGATTCGGCGCATTGTCAAGCACCTGAATCACCAGTTGTTGTTGTTTCTCTCCCCAGGCAAGCTTTGACCTTTTTTTAGGGTAACTTGTCTACACAGAAGCAGCAACTTGGCCATCTAGAGGCAGCTTGTTTCCGGATTTATTCTTTGACACCGTGTCTAAACCGGGATCTTGGAAGCCTTGTTCAGGCTCCGATTCCTTTTCCCTTTTGATGGCCCCAAAAAGACATGGTTCCCTTCCAGGGTCACACAACTTACCCAGAATCAGCTCCCCTTTGATTTCCACTCACCAGGCCGTGGGTCAAAACCAGTGGTCTCCCATTTTGGGCTAGGTGAATTCACCGCCCATGTTGGAGCCTATCTCAGTGCTTGGATGGATTTGGATGTGTGGGGCTTGGATTTTGATCCGCGGCCACCAGGAATTCGAGGCCTCGATCCCTCGAAGGCCCATGGGGGGCTTTCGCTTCTTCGCGAGGCGCGCAGACCACGGTGTCGCGGGAGGAGCCGACCGTGACGCGGGCGCCCATGCCGGTGCAGGCGCCGGGTCCCGTGGCGTTGGGCGGTTGCCACGTGCGATGCAAGACACCCAGCACGTGTAAATATTGTCTTGGAGTTGTTTGGTTGTGTTTGTTATTGTTATTATTCTTTGGCAGGATGTTAAGGTTCGCTGACTCATCGGCTTTTGGTCACTGGTGGGTGGGGGGGGAGGGGAAGCCCTTGTTGCTTGGTTTTAGAGGGAACCCAAAAGGGAAATAACAATCTTAGGAGTTCCCTATTTTGGAGGCAGCCCATGTGTGAAAGAATTTCCTGGGAACAAACAAAGGATGGTTATTGTATGCTTATTTATTTTGCAGACCCCGAAACAAGAACACCCAAAGTGTTTGAACGGTCCCTCACGTACCCTGCAACTTTGGGTTTCGGATGTAGACATTAATATACATATATACACACACTAAATATGGACTAGAGTCAGCTATGCATTTCTGCGAACCCGGGAAGCTGTTCTGGGAGGTTGTTCCAGGTAGTTTAAAAGAGTTTGACGGCCACGCCCTAGGCTTGATCCCATGATACAACATGGGGTGGGGTACGATTAGGCACCAGATTACCGCTGGGAATCATGTGTAAGGATTTCTCACTTTTGCATGTTTGGATGGACTGCTTCATATGAGGCAGAATATTGCCGGCAGTCTGTTGTTCGTTGGAGGACACCTAGCCCATCTTCCCTACGTCCTCACTGAAATTGCGGGCCTACCCTTAGAAATTAATGTCAATCAAATCCAATACCATTGATCAAGAAGTTATTGTTTATCATGCAAACACAGTTGTTCCTCTTTTTTTTATTCAAGTGTGTGTATTGTATAGTCTATGTACAAGTTACAAAGTATGTTTTATTTCATATAGAAACTTGATCATGTTCAACACCAACACGCAGACCAATGGGTGGACATTATGAGATATATATTATTCAAGATTCAGTCAATGATTTACTTACTGCAGTATGTAATGTTGTCCCTGGCTTACATGGCTGTGTCTCAAAATAGGGGACTAAACAAAAATCTGTCGGGGTTCCTTGTAGTCGTGTCCTTCAAGTCATCCCAAAGGGCTCCCTAGATCTATATGGTCATATATGGTCTCTCTTGTTTGACGGCGCCCCTCTTAGGGTCAGTCTGAAGGACAGGGGAAGTGACACCATGCCCAATTCGCTCAGTTCATTCGGAGCGATGTACAAGTCTCCCCCTTTTGTTTGGTGAGTTCGGGCCTGAGGGGGAGGGGGGAACTGGTTCCAAGTGCGAAATAGTGCGAACCTACCCCAACGACTCCAAAAACACCAAAGACAGTTGGAAACAGTTGGGCCTGACAGTGGACCCAGGGCCCATCAACAACGGTCTTTTAAGTACTTGGTTTTTGGCAATTTCTCCTGAGAGACTGGGACATTACATGAGTTTGGGTTATTTCCGGAGATGTTGTTGTTTCAGTTGCGGGTGTGCGGATTTGGTGCCATCCCAGAGTGTCGAAACCCTGTTTCGACTCCCTGAAAAAGTAAAGGGACCCTCAGTGTAGCAAACCCTTTCGAGTCCCTCTATTCCCCCTACGGATTCAAACCCTACCCACGAAAGGGAAGAAAGGGAGTACCACGAAAGGGAAGAAAGGGATTCATGTAATACATCCACGAAAGGGAAGAAACCCTACCCATATCCTGCCGCAATGGTATACATTTCGGTGAGACGTGTACACCAATGGGTAATACTGGGTTCATAAAAGTCATTGTTGTTGTTTGGGGGGGGGGGGGGCGGGGTGCTTTTTTTTTAAGTGTCGAACTTCGAAAAGGGGTGGAGTTGCTTTTAGAAGAACGGGGCAAGTCCTCCTCGCTCAGGAGCCTACAGAGGTGGCCGCTCGTCCTTCAGTTGTCTCGGTTTTTTGGCCGTGCCGTGGTGCTGGGGGCGGATATCATATGGGGTCTTGCTTTGAGCGTTTCTTGTTTTTGTTTAATAGTAATTAGTAGCCAAGAGGTTGCCGGAGTTTGGGGGGTGTCTCTTTTTCGACACTTCTGTGTAGGGACGACCAAAAGGGTGGGACTATCAGGTGTCTTTTTCGTCGAGCGCTTTTGCGAGGTTTGGTGAGCAGGGAAGGCAAAAGCAATGCAATCATGTTGGCTGTCCCTTCCGATTTTGAGACAAACACAGTTCAGGTCGGATGCTTGAAAGATGAGCTTTCATTTGCCAGTTGAACATGGAGGGAGAGCACAAGGAAGCCACCATGTTGTTTGTTCCTAAAGGGAAACATGGGGAAGACCACAAGAGCACCGACCGATTGATTGATTGTAGGGGGGAAGTGTAATCAGGTGCTCGAAAAACCAAACGAACACCGAGCACATGTTGTGCTTCAAGCGGGAAATGCGGGGAAGCCAAAAGAATTGAGAAAGAGGGATGCTCAAACCAATATTCAGCAAATCCCTTGTGGGGCCTCTTGTTTTGGGGGCCTTCCAAAGAGCTGGAAGAAGCAGGAAGCATCAGGAAACAGCAGCAAAGAAACATGAAACAGCAGGAAACAAAGCAGCCCTTGAACGTAGAGCTCGCGCTTGCAAGTGGGAGTGACAACGCAGGTGTCAGGGTAAGCTCCGCGAGCACACATTTTTATTGTACACGCTTCGTGCTGCCCGCCTCGGCCAGCATCAGCCAGTTTCGGCTTGCTTTGAAGGAATGGCATGTCGTTGTGGGCGCTCACTTCAAGGACGCTTGCAGGCGCTGTCGGCTCCCTTTGTGCCTCTCTTGGTGGGCTGTCTTGGTGGACGCTTGTGGGCGGAAGTCTTGCGGGCGATGTTCATGAGCGCTTGCGGACGCTTGTGGGCGCTCCTTCGTGGGGCTTGTGGGCGCATGTGGGCCACAAGGACGGAAGTCTTGCAAGCGTGCATCATGAGTGCTTGCCTCTGTGGGCGTTCCTCTTGGCGGGTGCTTCTAGGCGCATGTGGGGGCTCTTCTTGGGCGCTTTCGGGTGTGCGGCGCATATGGGCGAGCGGGGCGCTCGCCCACGCTCTCTGCTGGGTGCGCTTGTGGGCGCATGTGGGCGGGGTTTCATTGGGTGCTTGTGGGGTGGGGGGTGGGCGGCACTGTTGCAGGCGCTCCCTTCATAATTGCTTGCGGGCACTTGTGGGCGCTCTTGGTGGGCGCTTGTGGGTGGTTGCGGGCGTTCTTCATGAGTGCTTGCGGGCGCTTGTGGGCGCTTGTGGGCGGCAGTGTTGCGCTGTTGCGGGCGCCCGCAGCGGTCCATATGGGCGCTTACATTACTGGGGTTCAAACCTTCTTTTCATGGGGGTTGAACATGTTTACCTCACTCTGAATGGACTGGCCAAAAAATGCAACCAAAGTTGTCGTTTACAACTAACATGATCTTCCCAAAAGTAACTAAAGTCCAGGAACCCATCAGGGAGTGAGAATCCAAAGGGAAGGGTTCAAATTGCCGCCTGTTAATGTTTACAAGGGCGGCATTCAACGACACCTTCTGGCCCAACAGCTGAGAAACGCTGCGCAACCCCATAGCCTTTGGCCGCAAGGTTGTTTTATTTCTGGACATCTAGCTGCGCCGCGCATATCTAACCGTCAACCTATTCGGCTCGTCTTGTTGAGGGCCCGCAAGGAGATTGGGTGCTCCTTTTGCTTTCCCTGTCCCTGTCTGTCAAATTCGGTCAGGTCTTGTGTCATTTGCCCAGAACCCAAGATTCTTGGTGCCACTCGCCTGCCCAATAAGACGCCCGCCCACAAGCGCCCACAACGCTGCCCACAAGCCCAGCCACAGACCGGCGCCCACATGCTCACAAGCCCCCAAAACTGCCCACAAGCACAAGGAAGAGCGCAGCGGCGCTCCCGGAAGACGCCCGCAACACCGACGCCCACAAGCCCAGGAAGATGCCTGCAACGCCCGCAAGTGCCCGCAAGGAAGAACAGCCGCATCAAAACCACGACGCTCAGAGAACACCGCCCGCAACGCCCAGCAAGAACGCCACTCACATGTGAGTATCTGGGAAGCTCAGTTTTAGACCCTTTGACCGGTTGATGGACAAAGTCTCACGTGTTGGGGTTGGACCATTTTAGTGGTTGTGGCTTTGGACATTTTGCTGAGCTTGTGTGGGCGTTGTTGTGGGCGTTAGTGCGCTCTCTCTCTCTCTCTCTGTTTCTCGCTCTCTCTCTCTCTCTCTCTCTCTCCCTCTCTGTCTGGAGTTTGTGGGTGTTAGCGACTCCGGAGGCTTGTTTGTGGATGACCTCCAGCTACTTTTGTGAGTACCCAGGCGCACGTAAAACTTCAGCGCTTTGTGTGTCCGTGCGCGCACACGCTGCGTACGTGAATCAGTGTGCAAGAAACAGCTGGCGGCGGGAAGGGAGAGAGGGAGGGAGGGCGGAGAGGGAGGAAGGGAGGGAGGGGAGGGGTGCGTGTTTGAGTGCGTGTGTGTTTGTGAGTGTGTTTGTGAGTGAGTGAGTGAGTGAGTGAGTGAGTGAGTGAGTGAGTGAGTGAGTGAGTGAGTGAGTGAGTGAGTGAGTGAGTGAGTGAGCGAGCGAGCGAGCGAGTGAGTGAGTGAGTGAGTGAGTGAGTGAGTGAGTGAGTGAGTGAGTGAGTGAGAGAGTGAGTGAGTGAGAGAGAGAGAGTGAGAGAGTGAGAGAGTGAGAGAGTGAGAGAGTGAGAGAGTGAGATAGTGAGAGAGTGCGTGCGTGCGTTGAGTGCGTGACGGCGTGACTACGTGACTGCGTGACTGCGTGAGCGCGTGAGTGCGTGAGTGCGTGAGTGGAGAGAGCGAGTGGGCGAGTGAGCGAGTCAGCGAGTGAGCGAGTGAGCAAGTGAGCGAGTGAGCGCGTGCGTGCTTGTGAGTGTTTGTGAGTGTTTGTGAGTGATTGTGAGTGTTTGTGAGTGATTGTAAGTGAGTGTTTGTGTGAGTGTTTGTGAGCGTGAGTGATTGTGAGTGTTTGTGAGCGTTTGTGAGTGTTTGTGAGTGTTTGTGTGCTTCTGAGTGCTTGTGGTTGTGCGCACTTTTGCTCTTGCTGGGATTGTGGGCGCTTTTGTTGGGCTTGTGGGCGCTTCTGGTGGCTGTGGCTTGGGCTTGTGGGCGCTTGTGGGCGCCCTTGCTGGGCTTCTAAGCGCTTCTGCTGGGCTGGGCGCTTTTGCTGGGCTCAGCGCTCTTGCTGGCCTGCTCTTGCTGGGCTTGTGGGCGCTTTTGCTGGGCTTGTGGGTTTGTGGCGCCCACATACGCCCACGTGCGCCCACATGCGCCCACACGCACTCGCGTCAGCCCGTTTTTTTCTCGTTTTTTGCCGTTTTCGACACACAAGTGCCCAAGTGCCCACAAGTGCCCACACACAAGGCTATGCACTGTTGTGGGCCCCGACACAAGCCCAGCAAAAGCGCCCACAAGCCAAACCCAGAAGCGCCCACAAGCCCACGCCCAAGCGCCCACAAAAGCCCAAGCGCCCACAAAATCCGAAGCGCCCACAAGCGCCCAAGTCTTACAAGCCCGGTAAAAGCGCCACAAGCCCGGCAAAAGCGCCCACAAGCCCAGCAAAAGCGCTTTGCTTGTGCGCGCTTTTGCTGGGCTTGTAAGCGCTTTTGGCTAAGGGATTTTGCTTATGGGCGCTTGTCGGCGCTTTTGTTGGGCTTGTGGGCGCTTTTGCTGGGCGTGTGGGCGCTTGTGGGCTCTCTTGGGCGTAGGCGCCTTTGCTGCGCTTGTGGGCGCTTTTGCTGGGCTTGTGGGTGCTTGTGCGCTCTTGCTGGTGAGCGGTTTTGCTGCGATTGTGGGCGTGTGTGGCGGTTGTGGGTGGGCGCTCTTCTTTCTGGGCTTTTGGGCGCTTTTGTGGCGCTTTTGCCGGCGCCCACATGCGCCCACATGCGCCCACATGCGCCCACATGCGCCCACATGCGCCCACATGCACTCGCGTCAGCCCGTTTTGTCCCGCTCGTTCCCGTTTTTTCCCGCTCCTTCCCCGCTTTTTCCCGCTCGATCCCGTTTTTCCCCGTTTTTTCTCGCTCGATCCCGTTTTTCTTTCTTTTCCCACAATCAACCAGAAGTGCCCAGCGCCCACATGTTTCATCCCTTTAAGATGCACACAAGCCCACAAGCTGCACCGTTGTGGGCTCACTTGCTGTGAGTAGGCGGCACCTGCAGGTGGCACCCTTTGCTGCGCTTTTGCTGCACTTTTCGGTGGGCGCTTGTGGGCTTTTGCTGGGCTTGTGGGCGCTTTTGCTGGGCTTAGGCTTGTGGGCGTTGGCGCGTGCTCGGGTGCTTTTGCGGGGCTTGCTGGGTTTGTGAGTGGGCTGGGCTTGCGGGTTGGCGATCTTGTGGGCTTGTGGGCGCTTTTCCTGGCTTGTGGGTTGTGGGCGCTTTTGCCGGGCTTGTGCTGGGCGCTTGTGGGCGCTTGCGATTTTGTAGGCGCTTGGGCTTTTGCTGTGCTTGTGGGCGCTTGTAAGCACGTTTGCTAGCTGAGCCTGTAGAGGCTTGCTGGGCTTGCGCGCGCTTTTGCTGGGCTTGTAGGCGCTTTTGGCGAAGCGCTTTTGCTTACGGGCGCTTGCGGGCGCTCTTGTTGGGCTTGTGGGCGCTTTTGCTGGGCTTTCTGGGTCGGTTTTGCTGGGATTGTGGGCGTGTGTGGGCGGTTGTGGGTGGGCGCTCTTGCTGCGCTTGCTGGGCTTGCTGGGCTTGTGGCTCAGCACTTGTGGGCGGGCGCTTTTGCTGGGCTGCTCTTGCTGGGCTTTGCGGGCGCTGTTGCTCGGCTTTGCGGGCGCTGTTGCTGGGATTGTGGGGCTGGCTTGCGGGCGCTTTTGCTGGCTTGTGGGCGCTTGTTGGCGCTTGTGCGCTCTTGGGCGCTTTTGCGTTGCTGGGCTTGTGGGCGCTTTTGCTGGGCTTGTTGGCGCTTTTGCTGGGCTTGGCGCTCTTCTAGGCTTGTGGGTTTCTTGGGCTTGTGGGTGCTTGTGGGCGCTTTTCTTGTGGGTTTGTAACGCCCACATGCGCCGACATGCGCCCACATGCACTTGCGTTGTCCCGCTCGTTTTTTCCCGTTGTTCCCGCCGGGCCGAAGTGCCCACAAGCGCCCACATGTATCCCTTTAAGATGCACACAAGCCCACAGGCTGCACCGTTGTGTGCTGAGCAGGCGGGCGCCTGCACGTGGCACTTTTGCGAGGATTGTGGGTGGGCTTTTGCTGGGCTTGTGGGCGCTTTTGCTGGGCTTACGGGCGCTTTGGGCTTGCTGGGCTTGTGGGCACTAACGCTTGTGGGTGCTCTTTGTGGGCGCTTTTGCTGGGCTTGTGGGCTGGGCTTGTGGGCGGCTGGGCTTGGCGCTCTTGTGGGCTTGTGGGCGCTTTTTCTGGGCTTGAGGCTCTGGGCGCTCTTTGTAGGCGCTTTTGCTGGGCTTGCGGGCTTGCTGGGCTTGTGCGCGCTTTTGCTGGGCTTGTAGGGCTTGTGGGCGCTTGTGCGCTCTCTTGGGCTTGTGGGCGCTTGTGCTGGGCTTGCCGCTTTTGCTGGGCTTGGGCGCTTGTGCGCTCTTGCTGGTGGGCGGTTTTGCTGGGCTTGTGGGCGTGTGTGGGCGGCTGTGGGTGGGCGCTTGTTGGCGCTGTTGCTTGGGCTTGTTGGCGCTTGTGGGCGCTTGGGTGGGCGCTTTTGCTGGGCTCAGCACTTGTGGGTGGGCGCTTTTGCTGGCCTGCTCTTGCTGGGCTTGTGGGCGCTATTGCTGGGATTGCGGGGTGGGCTTTGGGCGCTTTTGCTGGCTTGTGGGCGCTTGTTGGCGCTTGTGGGCGCTCTTGGGCGCTTTTGCGGGGCTTGCTGGGCTTGTTGGCGTTGCTGGGCTTGGTTCTTGTGGGTGCTTTTGCTGTTTGGGCGCTCTTGTGGGCGCTTTTGCTGGGCTTGTGGCGGTGGGTGTTTGTACCGGGCTTGTGGGCGCTTGTGGGCTCTCTTGGGGTTGTGGGCGCTGTCGCTGGGCTTGCGGGCGGCTTGTGGGCGCTTGTGGGCTCTCTTGGGGTTGTGGGCGCTTTCGCTGGGCTTGTGGGCGCTTTTGCTGGGCTTGCGAGCGCTTGCGCGCTCTTGCTGGTGGACGATGCCTCAAAGGAGTCAACTGCTTCAAGACGATGAGGGTTCCTCCGGACGATCGCAAACCTAGGCCCAAAGCAAATGTGTCTGAACTTTTGGTAAAAGACGCCGGTTGTCGGTGGGCTTGTGGGCGTTTTTGCTGGGCTTGTGGGCGCTTATTGACTTATAACGCTTGTGGGCGCTTTTGTGGGCTGCTAAGAGCTTTTGCTGGGCTTGTGGGCGCTTGGGCGCTTGTGCGCGCTCTTGCTGGGCTTGTAGGCGCTTTTGCGTTTTGCTGGGCTTGTGGGCGCTTGTGGGCGCTTTTGCTGGGCTGGCCCTTGTGGGCACTTTTGGGCGCTCGTGGGCTCTTGCTGGGCTTGTGGGCGCTTTTGCTTTGTTGCTCTTTCTGGGTTTGTGGGTGGGCGCTTGTGGGCGCCGGTTTTTGGGGCGCTCTTGCTGGGCTTGGTTGGCGCTCGTTTTGGGGGGCTCGTGGGTGCTCTGTTTGTGGGCGGGGTTGCGGGTGTGGGCTTGTAGCTCTTGGCTTGGTGGGTGGTGTTGCGGGCGCCGCGCTTTTCATGGGCTTGTGGGTGCTAGTGGGCACACGCGGGCTCTCTCTTGGTTAGCTTCCATGTGGGCGCATGTGGGCGCTTGCTTGTGGGCGGAAGTGCTGCGGGCGGGCGCATGTGGGCGCTTCTGGGCGGATGTGATGAGTGCTTGTGGGCGCTTGTGGGCGCAGGTGCTTTCTTGATGAAGTGTTGTGCTGCGGGTTGTGAACGCATACAAGCGCTTGGAAGAAGTGCCTCTTTGATGGGTGCTTGTGAGCGCACGTGGGCTTGTGGGCGCTTGTGGGCGCCAGTCAGTCTGGGTGGGTCATGAACGCATGCGGGTGGAAGTCTTGGCGGTGTGGGCGGTAGCGTTGCGGGCGCTCCAGTCATGGGTGTATTGAGGGCGTATGTGGGGCTGAACTGTTTTTGCGGGCGGTTTGCGCCCTTGTGTGGACGGTTTTAGCTGCCATGGACACTTTCAGTCGGCGGTGCGGGTACTGGCACTTGCGGTTGCTTCTGGGCGGCGTTTTTGGGGGTCGCCTTCATGCGCATGTGGGCGCTTGTTGGGCGGCAGTGTTTAATGCCTTTCATGGGCGCATGTGTGCGCTTGTGGGCGCTCTTTTGCGGGTCTTGTGGGCGCACGTGGGCGCTTGTGGGTGGAAGTGTTGCGTGCGTTCTCCACGAGTGTGCATGTGGGAGCTTGTGGGCACTCAGCTTACGTTCGGATGTTTAGATGTTGCAGTCATCAGTACAAGAGTAAATGGCGTCGGCATGTTCTTGAGACGCGCTGAGCCAGCGTCGACTTTGGGCGCTTGGGCAGGTTTGGGATCTGGGTGTTTTTTTTGGTGTTTTTCCTGTGTTTTCCCGTGGCTTCAAGGAGGGCAGAGGGCCCCCACAAGCCAAGGCCCCACATGAAGTTTGCTGGAATATAAATAATTGAAAGGGTTGCTAAAACCAACAAGGCAGCCGCCTATGTGTGGCCTTGAAGGGCAAACACACACCCAATCCTCCCTTCCGTAGCCCGTAGTCCCCCCTCCCGTGGTTCCTTCCAAATAAGGCTCTTGTTTTAGGGAGAACAAAGCGGCGGGCAGGCTTGCGCGGGTACCAATCCTGGTATGTTTGAATGTGATGTTCAAAGCGAAGCAAAGCCAAGCATGTGTAGTACTCCTTTAGGGAACACGCGCTTCAGTAAATCAACTTCCCCTAAGACTCTTCCATTTCGAGATGCCTTCCAATGAAGATCCCTTCCCCCCTCAGATGGAGGGTCCTTGCTCATGCTTGGGGTCACTGAGGGCAAATTTGTCTTAGCATCAACAACCAGCATGGGGTTGTGCGGTATGCTGGATGCCCTAAATATTGCAAGTAGGGAACAAGGACAACCCTCTAAACTCCCACTGTTTGTTGTTGGCTTACTGGACATATTTGGGGCATCCACCGTGGTCTAAACCAAACTAAGAGGGCGAAGAGAAACCAAGCCTCGTTCCCCTCGGTGAGGTGAACACCAGCAGCATGGAGAAGACCCTGTCAGCTCCCTCGCGCAGCTCCCTGACGCACCCCACCTCACACTTGACGACGCAGCCCGGGCACTCGGCACTCGGCACTCGGCACGACGCGCAGAGAAATTTGGGGATAGCCAACCACTACACAAGAGGGTGTCTTTTTGTTGAGGGTACCCTTTTTGGGGAAAAGAGAGGCCAACAGGAAAACCACAATTTTGACGGCCCCCTTAAACAATAGACACCCCACAACCAGGCAACTCACCAGCTACTGAAAGCTCTTACTGATAACACCATGGCCATAGCATGCAAATATCAAGTTGGACCAAAGTTGGATCCATCTTTTGTCGCCGAACTGAACAATTCCGACTGGGCTAGTACATCCTGAGTACATGACTTCTACGCCCTACTGGACGTTTAATGAGCCATTTTCGGACCCCGCCTCTTTGGAGCAAGGAGGAACAAACTGGGATTCAAATTGGGTGTTCGAGCTACTTAGGTCAGCACTTGGTGAATCCCGGGCATCCGGTTCCTTAGGTCGTAGCTGTTTAGTTGGTTGAGTGGTTGGGTGCCCGAGTCTCACCCACACGATCTCGAGCTTTTTTGGGGGATCTGAAAAAGGGACGGCCCAGAGCACCATGGCAAGGGGGCCTTCCCACCCCGCTTCCGAGGTCGCCCGTGGACATCCCGGTGCCGACCCAGTTGCCCTCCACTCCCCCGCCCTTGCCAGAGGAGGAGATGGCGTGGACACCTAAGGGCGGGGAGGGGGAGGAGGCGGGGGGGGAGAGAACCTCGTAGACACCTGGGCCAGGGGGCGGGGGGGGAAGGTTGGCTGAAAAGCTCACGCCCCTCGGTTCTTGGACTTTCAGCGAGTTGTGAGACTCGGCCACTTTTGGCGGCAAGCACAGTCCAACCGTTTGGAGAATGGCCAATCCACACAGGAAGTGAGCTTAAAGATTAGATCCCGGCCCCCCTTTACTGGGGTCTCCTCAAAAATCATAAATGGTTTAAGGTTGTGAGAGTATGATACAAAGTCTGAACATATCATTTTTGGTTTTCTTTGGGCTTGGGCCAAGTTTAAGGGAGACCACAAGGAGGTTGTTTTCAACAGGTGTTGGGACATGTTGAAACAAGGGGTTCGCCCAACCTGCTGGAGGCTGGGCTTGGTACTGCCGTGGTATTGTACATGTTGAGGCTCGCTAATAGGCAAGGCTTTGGCTTAGTTGCTCTTTGGTCCGGTCCTCTCTGGGTCAGCGTTTGAGAAAATCGTACTTTGCCATTCTGTTTGTCGTTGATTGCGAGTTGCGGAACCTGGCTGGCACCACAACGGATGTACAACGCTTGCCTCGCTGAGTTTTTGATATCTTTTTGAAAGCGGGTGGCATTTATTCTGCCATTCAAGGTTGGTCGGTTGGGGTCTTGGGGCGGGGTGGGTGTTGGGCTCATTGGGGAGGGTTGGAGGAGTGAAACAAAATTCACCAGAAGCATGTTGGATGTCAAATGTGCCAAATGGGTGCCCTCTTCTTGTGGTTTTACGCGGAAGCCATAAGGAGGAACCCCAATTTGAGGGGTTCCCTGAAAAAGGCCACACCGAAATAGTTGGACCACGGTGTGTAGCCGGCCCCTGCTTTTCGGCCACAGTTTTGCTTTTTTGGGTGTTACGGTCCATGTCTGTTTCCTGGGTGTCTCGCCTCTACGCCTGCCCAAATGAAAAGCGGAGCCGCTCAAGAGCATCGTGCAGCGTTTCATCAGCTCAAAGTTCTTACAGAGCCTTGGGCTCCGGTCAAGAATGCCAGCATTTTGCCTAGTGTCATGCTGGGCTTTTGGCGTGCGATGCCTCGGCTATTCTCAAAGATCAAAGTGCGGCGAAGCAGCCAGGCTGTTGAAGCTGAAAGTCCCAAAGCGAAGTAGCTTTCTGCGCGGCATTTCATGATCGAATTGCCTTGGCTGAGAGTGAGACATCGAAGCAGCCTTCGTTTGTGCAGCATTTGAGGGATCCCCAAAAACCTCCGCCGCAAGGACACGTATCGGAATAGGGGCCAAAACCCTGTAAACGAAGTCGATCCTCTGAAACGAAGTCGACCCTCAGGGTGAAAACCCCTGTATGGCGAAGGCGACCCTTTACACCGAAGCCTCCAGAGATATTCTGGTTTTGCACCTTTTAATTGTGGAAGTAGCTCATTTTGGGGTGAAACCATCCGTTGGCTGCATGTCTACGGGCCAGTTGCGAAGCTTGCAGCTTTCAAGCTCAGTGGTGTTGCAATATTTATGCACCGATTCCTTCATTGAAGGGATGCTCGGCCTTGCGAACGACCAAACACGAAACACCAGGGACCAGGAGCCGTGTACCAAATAGTTTGGAGCACTTGTCGTTTTGTTCGCTTTGGGCCTGTTTGCCGCATTCGACCACTGTTGGGATGGACAAGCTTGGGGCCTTGGGGTTTGGGCCCCTGAGGCTCGGATGTACCAACTTGGTTGGCGGGTTTTCCCATGGTGAAGGGACGAATCCCAGTCCCAGTTGCTTCCGTGGTAACGTGAAGCCATATTCGTCAACCCCGGGGTATTCGTAGGGTGTTCCTGGGTTTAGTGGAGAATCAGAGACCACTCTTGGAGGGGCCCCCACCCCGATATGAATAAACGAGGGTTGATTGTCCTCCCACCAATTTACCCTGAACCTGACAGGGGGGTCGCTTTGAAAGCAAAACTGTCTTCCAGTCCAGGACCCCCCTGTCTGGTTCCATGTTAGATATTTAATTCATGGGAGGGGATATGGTGTCAACATTGCTGGTGTAGACTTAGGATACATTTTACATTTTACCATTCACCGGTGACTCAAAGTGAAGCAAGCCATAAAATCTACATTCTATAACTGGACCCAAAACTCTAATCATGTGTTGTTCCCGCCAAAAACGGGATCAGGTCACACCATTGGTTGGGATTGGTTTGGGAATTTGAACCCAAGGTTCCTGTAGGTACATACCAAACCACGCAACCTCCAGACCAATCCAAACCATTGCCGTCCTGGGCATTGTCTCATAGTGCCGTCCACGGGAAACCAACCCGCAACCGTCCGCCCAGATCCTCCCGCGGAGCTCGGCAGGCGGGAGGGAGGAATCGCCAGGGAGAAAACGTGTCCACCCCCCCCCCCGCGGCCCCAACCAGAGATGAGGTTGGCCGAAGATCAGGGCCCCCGATATTTCCCTTTTGGGCGGTTTTACACATCACTTTTTGGTGAGTGTCCCTTTGTGGGGGTGATGTTTTAAGGGGAAATATAGGGAGCCCTGGAAAATCACGCCTCAAGGGCGCGTTTTGGGGGTCTTGTTTGCAGAAACCCGGAGGATTGGCGAGTTTGAAGAGGAAGAAGGTTGGATCCTTTGAAAGGAGCGAGGGGAACAACGAAACGGCTTCGCCTTTTCCCTTCTCCTTTTTTGTTTGTGGTTGACGTCCCGTGTTGACGTCCCCTGACAAGCTTGAACTTGGCCACCGGTCTGTGGTTTCCCTGTAAGGGGGGGCTAAGCTTCTATCCTTGTTCCGACATGTCGCCGGTTGCAACATGTATGGCCCTCACGGTGTGCAGTAGGCATACCGGCCACTTCCCATGGCACAAGGACAGCTGGAAGTGGATGCCCATGTCATGGTTGTTGTTGGGAAACATTTTACATTTTTGCTTATTGTGGTTTAGTGGGAAATCCCCACTTGACTGCTAAAACTTAATTTGTTGCTCCCCTTCCAACGTCAACCAAGTTGTCCCCGGTAAAACCGGACAGATGGAAGCTGAAAATTATTGGGCCATCTTCACAACGCATCCAAGGCCATGGGGCTATGGGAAGGTGAAGCACAGTTTTGGGGACGCTTGCCGAGTTCGTAGAGTATGACACTGAACGGTTTCCTGAAAGAGAAGCAACATGTCGAGTTGACGCTCTTCCTAAGCAAACTCTCAAGGACCCTCGAGTTGGTTCAAGCCACTTGAGTATATGCCAGACTTGACTCGCCTTTTTGCTCTTAAAGTTTTTTTTTGGGTCGTTAAACAACAAACACAAATCAACCAGAACAAATAGCTTGAAGACATTCTATGTCTGGTCAGGGTTGCTCCAAATCAACCGTCATTTTGCCCTTGAAGCAACATGTCGGAGTTTTTTGCAGGGGTCGGATCTGTGTTACCAAGGTCGCGCACGTGGGACTCATTGCAATTGCCTTCCTGGGGATGCCTGACTCATTTTTGAGGGTCCTTGCTCCCTGTACAGAAGCAGGGGCACGGGAAAGGGATGGAGGGCTTTGGAGAACCCCACAGAAATCTGCCCCTGCAAAGGTCAGTCTCGACTTTGGGCCGTAAAGAGCAATTGTTCAATGCTTACCAAGGGTTATGAACGGCTTTGGCTCCCTTTGTAGTGGTTTTCCAACAGGGATTGTGGAAGATCGGATTGGCCACAGTACTTGTTGGCACGATTTCCATCCGGAATGCTTGCCATTTGCGGTGTCGAAAAACCGTTTTGGAGCCCTGACATGGATTCCGGCTTTCCCTTGGCTTTCCCCTGGGCTTCTTTTGGCTTTCCCTTGGGTTTCCCTCCAAAAATGGCCCGCCTGGCCTCCCCAATGGCCAGGCCTGGCCTCCTCAGCGGCTCCCAGCTCGCCCTCGGAGCTGGTGGTGCCGACCAACGTGCCGGGCGCCCAACGCGGGCGGGGCGCAGCGCTTGGATTTTTTGAACCGACGTCAGCTTTGGTGCGTTCTGCTGGGATCTTGGGGCTGAAAACTTGTTTTTTGCCAACTCGTGAAATGGTTTTCCGTGTTAAAACACTAAAAGTTAGACTTTTGGCAGGGGAGCACACTCTGACAAGCGCTAAAGATAGAGCACCCCCGATAAGGAAGGCCCCGTGAAAGGAAGATATGGGGGTGTGGTGTTGGGGTGTATGGTGAAATCCTTTGAATCAACGGGGAAGTACGTAGTTTGTAACCATGGCAACTGGGGCAACTGGGGTAACTAGCCCCTTATAACCATAGGTTAGAACCAGACCCAAGTGGGGTGTCTCTTCGGGGTAATGCGTCGTTTTGTACATGCTGATTTGGTGGTGGTGGAGCTTTGGCCAGGTGGCTCCCACATCTGCGGGCAGCGGGTAACTTGATTCCAGGCCAAGTACATTGGGGCCAAAATGGGGAAAAGCCTGGGGGCTAAAAGTTTGGGGTGCAACGGCCAAATGGGAGTTTCTCAAACCGGCTTCCCCCCCGTCTTGGTCTTTTGGAGTTTGAATGGGCGTTTTGAATGGACACCCACAATTTTTCTTGGTGGTTCCCAGCCATCCCCTTAGCTTTTGAGCTTTTTAGTCTTTGGGTGGGTTTCCCTTCAACCCACCCACAGTTTCACTTTCCGCGGGGGATCTCAAAACGGACAGCCCACGTTGGTGGTTTTTGTTTCATCACCTTTTTGGCCCGGGAGAAGGCCGCGTGGTTAATTTTTGCTTCGCTGGGGGTGATGTCTTGAGGGGAGGGAGCCCTGGCTCAGCATCGATGTGCAGGCCGTCGCCGGAGGGGCCCAGCCCACCGGAGGAGGCCAGGTCCGGAGTTTCGACACCGGAAGCGCGTCTGATACGGCGGGGAACCCAGATAAATGGGTGTGGCTCCAAATGAAAGAGCCAGGGCCCACCGCAGGTTTTGGTCTTTGGTTCCATTTACCATGCCATTTTGGAGTTCATCTTTTTGGGCCACAGCCAAATGGAACCGAGGACTAAACCCTGCGAGCCTCTGGTGGTGGGAAACAAATTGACCCATACCCATGTAGGTATATGTATATAGTGGGGCCCCCCCAAAACGGCGGGTGTCCTTTTGGTGTGCCTTCTCAGTCCACCAAACACAGGGTCCGAAAAAACACCCACGGCCGTGTATTTCGCTTGCCTCTGGCGATTGGGATCCATTTCAAGTCAAGCAGGGGTCACTTTGGTTTTTTGAAAGTTGGTCAAATAGATAGGCTGCAGCGTGTTGCCACCTTGAGAGTTGCAAGCATGTTTAGTTGAGACCTAAATAAAAAACCGATTTGTTTCCCGAGCTACACCCCTGACTCTCAAACATGTGCCGATTCCGACGTACGATTCGCAGCCGAATCGTTTAGAATAGTATGCTACTAGAATCACAGCACTAAACTTGGTTTTGAAGTGCCCCCACAACCCCATTCTAATCATTTAGGCCCTGCTGATATTAAATAAGGGGATACGCAATGACACAGACACACATTGTTCTTCTTTTCTCATCGCACACAAAAAATGTTCGTACCTCAAATGACCATTCCAACTCTTTTCTAGGGGTACCTTCCCCATTCTTTCCAGGGATCCTTCTTTCTAGAAAACCTCCGGAAACCCAGGGAAAACGGATCCGGTTTTTGGAAAGAACGATGGTTGAAAAGAATGGACAAGGAATCAACCCCTAGATCTTTCGCCCCTTGGTCCAAGTACGTCGCAACGAGCCGCGTTGGTTTCTCCACGGCCGCCGGCCGCCGCTTGGCGCGCAGACCGCGACGGTCACAGTGGAGGCCATCATGAGCTCAGGCGCGTTCGACATAGGCTGCCGCTGGGAATGTTGACCCCAGATGAAAAAAAACCGGTTTATTACAAAAAGCTGACCCCGGAAGGATGAAACCCCTGTTGATTAATATGGGGGTGTCGCTGGTTCTAGTGGGGATTCAGCACTTTTGGAGGGGAACACCCCCATATTAATAAACAGGGGTTTATTGATCCGGGGTCAATATTAGGGGGGGTGTCTCTGGCTTTAGTGGGAAATCAGACCACTTTTGGAGGGAGACGCCCCCTATTGATAGGACGGGTTTGTCAATCCAGTCAACATTAGATAGCGTGATGTGGTCAGTTCAATTATATTTGCGCCGAAGACTCCCTTTAGAATCTACTCAAAAGCTTTGAAGACTAGGGTTGGGCCCTCCTTTTCTCGTTTTGGTTCAATTTTAGCCAACGTCTCAAAAGGTCAACCTTTTCGTTGTTTGGTCCCTTGGGCAGAAGCGAAGCACTTGCCTTCCCAAATCGAATTGACTTTCCGTTCTGGAAACCTCACTTTCAGATTAGATTGTTTTGCGGCCCAAGGGGCCCGAAAGGGGGAAGTTGGGTTACCCCTTCAAAGCAAAGGGATGAACCACAATCAGAACATGGGTGGATAAAATGTTTGGGGAGACAAATCTGAACCCCATCCCACTTCTCTTTGAGGTAAGAGCCACCATCAACAGCTGCAGATGAAGGTTCAGCTGGGGAGAGTCCGAACCATAGATAGGGGCGCTTGCCATTAGCAACATGGCTTTGTCGTTTGTCACTTTTGCATCCGTTTGAAGTAAGCCAAGAAAGGGGCGCCCCCAAAAAAGACATACCCACTCAAGTGACTCAAACGAGTATCTGACAAAGTGCATGAAAACCCATTTGCCCAGTGGCGGCCATTTTTTCCTTTTTTCTTGGGAGGGTTCCCCTTTACGCTCAACCAACCAAAAATGGATGCCCATGGAAATCCACTGGGCATCTGAGAAAACAGGATGCACGTATTGCTAAGTCAGTCCAATCTCCTAGCCTCAAGATGATTCCTTTGGTGTCGCCGCACCGGGAAGTCCGAAACACAGGCCGGTTGAGCCAGAGGGGTTGCTTGGATTTTTCCTTCTTCTCCTTTTTCTTGGAGATTTTCTCGTTGTTGTTCCGAGGGGACATCATGACTAAGCCATCTTACTTCAGGACTTCTTGATTTTGGGGGCGAGAATGGCGGGGGGGAGGTCCTTCGTGGGCCCGAGGCAACCAGAAGGATTCCACCAACTACGGGATGTTCAGTCAACTTGGTAAGCACGCAGTTTTTCCACGGGGACGATTTTCCCAGGAAAAAAACGAAACAGTTACATCCATACCAATAATAAACACCTTTTGCTGCAGATGCGATTAGGATCGGGTTTGGCGTACCATAAATCAAAATCAAGTCATGCCCATGTGAGTCTGACTGCCCAAAGCGAATCGACCGTTTTAGCCTCTGGTTTCAGTTTGGTGAATCAGTCAAGGCTCCAAACAATGAACCTTCCATTTGGGGGAAGATCAAAAGGTCCCTTACATGGGGTGACCTTTAGGGAAGCTACAAAAACTTACAGATTTGACTCTCACCAGCAAGTGGGAAAAGTTACCCACGGTCATTTGACTGCGTCTGGTCAGAGCAGTACATCAAGCTTGCAAGTTGGTACCTCTCGTAGTCCTCGGACCCGGGGTCCTGCCGGTCCTGCCGGGTCGATTCGCCGATTAGTCGGGAGGCCTTCCCGACTCGGCGGTGTTGCGCTCGCCGTCCCTGCCACCTGTCGGGAGCTTAGGAGCTTAGGAGCTTAGGCATGCCGCATGCGCGCAAGCAAGCGCAGAAAAGGCCCCCGATCTGGGAAGCCAAAAGCCCAGCATTTTGGTTTGATTTGCTTTTGGTGCCATGCATTATGTTTCCCCATTTTGTTTTTTTGCCATTTTGGGGGCAAACCCAGCTGACCGACGACATTTCCGTCCTGTTGGTTTGGGGAGGACGAGAGTTGGGACAACCCACGTTTCGCACAAAAACTAGGGGGAGACAACAACTCTCTCAAGGCCTCTAAAGGAACACGCCATTTGGCACGGCGCTTGCATACTCATGCCTCTAAAGTAGGTTTTCTGTTTGGGTTCCTGTGTTTGATGTACCTCTGATGTCCTGGACGTGTATGTGTATATACAAATAGATATATCTATATATACATATAGACATATATATATATATGAATCCGTGTACTATTATATCTACATATACATATATATATATATGCATGCATTATATTGGGCAACTTGTCGGGAGCTCACAAACGCATTGGCTTTGCGACCTGCAATGAAGGCTCCTTTCATCGGGGGATTCCCTGATTTCAGTTTGATGAAATTCACCCAGATGTGGCCATGAGTCAAAGCCAATGGTATCCCATTTTGGGGTAGGTGAATTCACCACCCATTTTAGTCTATGTTAGTGGGGATCGGGATGTTCACTGGGGTACGATGTGGATTTTGACCCATGGCCATATATGTATGTAGATGTCCCACGCACTTGCGCAGAAAAGCACATCCGCATGCATGCATGTACATAAAGCAGTGTTGCCATTCCAAAAGAGGTTTGGTTTTGCCTGGGACATGATTCGAGGCTTGAGATGCTGGAGGTACTTCATTTTCATGGAACCCTCTATGCGAATGGTGTCCACTGATCCACTACGATTCACACACACACACATGTTCCCACTCTCCCTCCCTCTCTACCTCTTTTCTCTCCAGGAATATGTGGCGGCGTCTCCTAATGATAGGCGAGCCGTGGCAATGTCCGGCTTCCTGAAGCTTGCGGCTTTGACACTCAGAGTCCTAGCACCTTTTGTTTGGCTACGTACTATATATATATAGTTGCTGTTGCTTTTTTGTTTTCCCCCTCTCTGTCTCTCTCTCTCTCTCTCTTTTTCTCTTTCTGATTTTCTATGTTCTGTGTATTTATCTTGATATAATCTTCCTCGGTCTTGTTCTGTAGGAGTTATATCTCCGTATTTCTCCATGTCGTCATAGGTTCTTCTTTATCTTTCTAATTTAATCTGCATAGTTCCTGTGTTTGATTTCTTCCATCCCTTCTTCCTTCCTTCCCTCCCTCTTTCTTTCCTTCCTTCCTTCCTTTCTTTCCTTCTTTCTTTATTTCTTTCTTTATTTCTTTCTTTATTTCTTTCTTTATTTCTTTCTTTATTTCTTTCTTTATTTCTTTCTTTCTTGCTTTCTTTCTTTCTTTCTTTCTTTCTTTCTTTCTTGTAGTTGTTTCCCTCTTTCCGTTGCTCTCTCTCTCTCTCTGTGCTTTCGCACCCCGCGGAAGGCAGGGTTGCCTTGCCGGCTTCCGACGTTGCCCTAGGTGCCCACAGATGTGCCGTCACCGCAGGCGGATTTGGGATTTGAGTGGATGGCCGGGGTGTCAACGCGAAGCATTGGTTCCTTGAGAAATGCACCAAGTCTTTAGAAAGAAAGAACAAGTCAACAACGGAACAACAGGGCCGCAGTTCGTTGACGTTCCAAGATGCCATCGCCAAAGCTAGCAGAAAGGAAATATTACCTCTATGCAGCAGTTGTAGAGAGGTCCAAGTGTTATGGCAGGCATGCATGCTTGCCTGCATACGGACAGTCACACAGTCGCACATGCACACAGACACCCATGCATGCATACACGCACGCACGCACGCACGCACGCACGCACGCGCGCGCACATACATACATACATACATACATACATACATACATACATACATACATACATACATACATACATACATACATACATACATACATACGTGCATACGTGCATACGTGCATACGTGCATACGTGCATACATTCATTCATTCATTCATTCATTCATTCATTCATTCATTCATTCATTCATTCATTCATTCATTCATTCATTCATTCATTCATTCATTCATTCATTCATTCATTCATTCATTCATACACACATGCATTCATACATACTTGCATACGTACATACATAGTATGCGTACAGACGTATGAAAGTACGTACGTATGTACGTACATGCATGCGTACATATGTGCATACGTACATCGTTCATAAGTCCATACGGACATACGTACATGCATACATACGTGCGTACATACATACATACATACATACATACATACATACATACATACATACATACATACATACATACATACATACATACATACATACGTGAATGCGTGCATAAGTACATAGGACTAAAAGTACAAAATTACATACGTACATGCGTATACACACACATAGATACATAGATACATACATGCATACCTGCATACATGCATACATGCATACATGCACACATGCACACATTGACACATGTATACATGCATACATGCATACCTGCCTACATGCATACATGCATACATGCCTACATGCATGCATGCATGCGCAGCACAACATGCACAACAGGCATGCAATGCATGACGTGCACATTAGAACAGGACGCGATACCACAACCCATACTGCAAAGTTGCATAGCACAACATAACCTAACACAGAATGGCATACACAACAGAACATAACAACCGAACATAGCACCACACAACATGACCTAACCCAACATAACATAAAGTGACATGACACACAATCACACACACACACACACATAGCATTCAACACATGCCTAACACACATGACACACACGCACACACACACACATACCACACAACATCGGAGCACTCAACAACACACAACGAAACACCGGATTCTGCTACATTACATTTCGTTGCGTTCCGTTACACTACATGGCATGGCATGGACTGGCACTGCAGTGCCTCCATAGAGACATGCAAGTCAACCCGCGGATACTGCCAATGAGTTTCCTTTGCTCCATGTCGCAATGCAATCCTCTCATACTCTCATGGACCTCTCAGGGGGGTTGTGGGGGGGGAGGGGGGGGGGCGGGACATTCGCCTTTTTTCTGAATAAGCCAAGCACACGCCAAGGATCCACTAGTATGGCTTTTCATACGTGATAACCAAGCGCCCGCATCCTCAGACTCAGCAAAGGCACCCTTCCCACCGTAAATGTTGCTTTATGTTTTTTGCCGTTGCAACGGAAACTCAGTTACTGCGTTTTTGGCCGCAAGCTAATTCAAACTCAGTACGGAGAGGGATATCATCAATGAAAATGCACCGCGCCACACGACAGGGAAGCGTGCAGAAGGCTTTGCGAAAGGATTCTTTTGCGGAAGGTTTGTGAAAGCTTTGCGCCTGATATATGAAACTAATTGTTTCAGTTTGCGTGCGTGGCACGGAAAACGATTACAGTAGAAGCAGAAAGGTGTTGCTGCTTACAAGAAACGCAACGCTTACTAGAAGAGCAGTTGCCAACAGCAAGCCAAGAAGACCAGAACAGACGACGGATTTCCCGGAAGGTTTGCGGAAGGTTCGCGGAAGCTCCGCGCGCGCGGGAGGGTGGCCCCGTGTTTGCAGGAAAGTGCCCACGTAGCACGGGTAGCTCAATGGAGCCCAAGCCTACACAGACGGCGAAACACTACTTTCCTTCCTTACTTAAAATGACTTTCCTTTCTGCACCAATACTCGCGGAATCAAATCTTGTAAAACATGCGCCACGGAAGGTTTGCGGACGCAAGCAATGAAGCACATGTGCCACGGAAGTTCGCGGAAGTGACCCCTTGGCCCGCGGCCAGGATGCGGAAGCGTCCGCGGAAGCTTGACGAATGTGCAATAAAGTTTGTATGGAAGGAAAACCAACGCTCAGTTGTCCAAAGTCGGCCTTTTCAACTTTAGGGTTTCCTGCTAGGGCCATCACGACTTCCGTTCAAGGTCCCAACCGCCGATTTATTTTTCTTCTTCCAGGTCCTGGCAGTGAGAAATCCTGTTTTGGAAATTTGGAAAAGCAGGTTCCCAATTGAGCAGAGCCCAAACACCGCGAAAGGGCCATTCTGATAGGTGGCTCTACTTGGCTTCGTAAAGGTCATAGTAAGGCAATATATATATATATATATATACCATCATATTACAAGGGGCTGAGTGATTCATTCCAACACAGTTTTCCCATGGTCATGGCTAAAGCCGAGCTTTGTGTACCGCACACGCCCATCCTCATTTCGCCGATCCGATCGGCCAGGAGTTGCCAGTTCTGGCCAGGTCGGCAGGCGCGGCAGTTGGGCTGCAGCCTCTGGGCTTGAGACGAGGCCTCCAGTAGTGCAATTCCCCGTTTTCCCTTTTGTGAGGGGGCTTCCCATCAAACACAACCAACTACCAAGCAGAGAGCCGTTAAAAAAACATGGAAATCCACTGGAGGGTCTGGTATAAGACTGAACCGGGATTCTGGGAAGGAACTAGAAAGGGATTCCCCGGACCACACGGGATCGAGGCGGCGCTAGGCAAAAAATGAAGCTTGGACTTCCTCGAGCCAATCCACGTGGGTAAAGGATACGGTGGATGCCAATCAAAAATCTGTATTTGCTGAGCTTGAAGACTTTAAACACTTTGTTGGAAGCCCATTTTAGCGGCAAGCAGCATTTCAGCTTCTTCTTTCTTTTTTTTCTGGCCAATCCACTCAGGAAGTGAGAAATACAAATAGGGATCAATTTGGCAATCCGTGGAATTTACTGCCGTGTGTCTTCAAATGGTTTGGTTTGCTTGCAAGAACAGTGGTAAGTCTTAGGTGCCCAACACAAAACGTGGTCATGCCCATTCTTTGATTTGAGGGCAGTGGCGCACTATTGTAATTGATCAGGTCGCATTCCTTGAACACTACCAGAGCAGGGCGACCCAAAACCAATGTAAATTGCCATGTTTTCCATTTTGTGGGTTGCACATGCATGGAATCAATGGTATCATGATTGAATCGCCCCCCTTATTGCGGCCACATGAGGCAACGGGTTGTCGTTGGCATGGTTTGCGAGGCGCTCAGTCATGTCCCTCAGATTGGAACGCTGAACAGAAGCCTCACCTGTCCATGAACAGCTCAGTCCAAGCTCATAGAAGCCAAGTACAGAACCATCGTTGGGAAAGCAACAATCAACAAGAATAACGACCCCCCCCCCCCTGGGGTACGTGGCCAAACATATGTACCTCTGACACACACACACACACACAGAGAAACACAACCACAAACACAAGCCACAAACAAGCACACACGCACACGCACACACACACAAACGTACATACACAAGCACCAGCGCCAGCGCCAGCACAAGCACAAGCACAAGCACAAGCACACACACACACACACACACACACACACACACACACACACACACACACACACACACACACACACACACACACACACACACACACACACACACACACACACACACACACACACACACACACACACACACACACACACACACACACACAAACACACACACACACACACACACACACACACACACACACACACACACACACACACACACACACACACACACACACACACACAACACACACACACCACACACACACACACACACACACACACACACACACACACACACACACACACACACACACACACACACACACACACACACACACACACACACACACACACACACACCCACACACACACAAACACACACACACACACACACACACACACACACACACACACACACACACACACACACACACACACACACACACACACACACACACACACACACACACACACAACACACCAACACACACACACCACACAACACAACACAACACAACACAACACAACACACCATGTGAAGATTGACATCTCTGGCTTTAGTAACCCTTGACTGGGGAGCAGAGCATTCTGTTGAAATCCCGCCTCTCCACATGTGCACTAGTTCAACCAGGAGCTTCCCTTGCACAATACCATCAGCTGTGAGAAGGGTTCGGCATAATATATGCCGAACCCTTCTCACAGCTGATGGTATTGTGTGCACTTCGAACCAATCTGGATGTCCGGATGGGTAGTAATACCCCCCATCGGGTAAGGCGCTTAAGTGGGTTGTACGTAGGATAACTCCCTCTTATCATGGGGTCGCTAGCCAAAAGCTGCATGATTGTGGGCAGTTGGTTGCCACCCAAGGGTCCCCCAAAGTAATGAAGTTCATAGAAGTCTATAAGCCTTAGCCATCTTGCGGGGGAAATATTGGGGGGTGGGGGGGGTGGGGTTTTTTGACTTCTGCGAAAAGTGACTTTTGGTCCCCGGAACGGGTCCCTTCCCAGCCGCCAGTGTACTCGGCCTTGGGCTCCTCCGCGATGGCCTCGGTGGAGTCTCCCTCGGAGATGCCGGCGCGGTGGCCCGATGAATCGGTCCTTGCGGGAGCTGGCGGAGCCCCCAGTGAACATCCGGTTCAACCCAACCACTAAAATTCGTTTCTAAAATGGGTGGTGCACCGAAAACCCCAAAATGGTGCTATTGGTTTGGACCCACAGCCATGAAGGTTTCAGGCGGCTTTGTTTTCTGTGCTTCAGTTGGAAAGTTCCCAGCCACACCCTTAGACTTTTAGCCTCGTAGAGTTTAGAGGGCTTTGCGACACACCAAGCCATCATTTGCAGGGCGATCGGGAGGGGATCAAGCAATCGGATTACCTGGAACTCACCTCCAATCTCTAAACCATCTCCCAACCACCAATCAGGGGGGGAAGCAGATATGTATCAATGGAATTCACGAGTCCTGGATTCCAATTCTTGGGAACCCTCATTTCGCGCTGATTGGCCCCCAAGCGCGGGCTTTCATTTGGGCTTGAAGGAGTAAACGGGGAATGGGAACTCCTGTTTCTTGTTGCGGGGTACAGGTGGAAAACCCGCCAAGCACCTGGAGCCGTTCAGACCGACCAACTCCTCCCGAGGTGCCCACAGAGCTGCCCTCGCCGGTGGATGCCACCGTGGAGGCGTGGGAAGCCGGCTACCAGCGCTACTAGCCATTGGTTTGGGCCTCATTCTTTGCCTCCTTCCATGAACATGGTGTAACATGGTCCCTACAAAAGAGGACCGTTCTCTTCCACTTGCCACAAATGCTATGTTCGCGGGAGGAAGGAACACTTTCTGGGTTTGGGCCATATTCGTGCTTTTTGGCAAGTGCAGGGGAAGTGAACTTTTGCCGTTGAAGCAAGGAAACCTTGGGGCTGTACTTGGGGAGAGGATGGGCCAATGGGGGGAGGTTGTGCGCTATACAAACTCAAGCAAATTGCCTCATTTCTTGGTTGTCCAAACGCCCGGCAACAACAGCTCGTACCCCTAGTGAACATCCCAACTCCCACTAAACTAGGTTCAAAAAATGGGTGAATTCACCTACCCCAAAATGGGTCCTGCTTGTTTCATCAGGCAAAGGCCATGAGGACCCGAAAGCTGCTTTCGGGTCCCGGAAGCTCAAGGATGGGGTTTCGAGAAGCTGATGCATCTGTATATACAACTAAACATAGTTTTAGGTTTGAAGATGGACCAAGCCCAAAGTGCTGGTGTATTTTTGGTTTTAAGCAAAAGCAACATGTCAAACACGCAGTGAGAAAGAATGCAAAGTAAGCCCTTCACAGCTTCTTATGCCTGTTGAGACTTCTGAATTGGATGCGAGCACCCGAGAATGCCGGGGGCTTAGCCTATTGTCTCAGGGCTCAGGCACATGCCTCTGTATTTCATGGCCTGATACTCTCCTTATACCCACACAGCGGTGAGTGCCTTGTTCACGCGCAGTTCTGTCCCCTTCTCGGTTTCTTTGCGGTAAAGGCGGGCTCTCAATTGTCAGGCTCTTTTGCTTTCATTTTCCGGTGGCTATGTTGGGAAAGCATGGCGGAGATGGGAAGGAGAAGAACCGCTTGAGTTTCTTGCTGCAAGGTCCCTGCATTCGCAGCATTGCTCTGAACCTTAAGACAACGAGCAAGCCACAAGGTTAGAACATTGATCAAAGGTGGTAGTTGTTGCGCTCCGCAAGATCCCTCCAACTTGGTTTACACAAGGGTTTGGTTCCTGGCCAACTTCTTGTCATGGCTTCTCAACTTTTTCTGTGTAGGGTGTGTTTGCAAGTGAGTATTGTTTGACAACAGGTTGTTGCGATGTTTGAACAACCAGTTGAAACGAAGTCTGTCAACGATGTCTTTTGTAGCGTGGCAGGTTAGCCCCTAAAGCCCTAGCAACAATTCACGAACCATCCAGGATGAAGGCACCCAGAATTCGGGTGCATCGCCGTGTTTCAATGGGTCGCAACCAACCCCAACAGGCAGCCGGATGGAGCAACCTTCCAACAAATCATTGCAGGTGCCAACAGCCGATGCAGAAGCTGGCACGCTGTTGTCAGGCCGGCAGCAGTGCTGTGGCTTTGCATGGTAGGTGTTGTTCTGGCTTCGGTTTGCGAATGAAGAACAATGGTTTCCGTTGGTTCCAGTTTGGTTTCAATCAAGGACAGCGTGGCTCCATCGGACCATCGGTTGGTCCCAGGTTGCGGAGAGGGAACAGGGACTGACTTTGATCCTGGCAAAATCATGGCGCCAGCCTTTTGTCACAAAGCGGCCTCACCCTTCACGGCCTGATTTTGAGCTTCTAGGGCTCCTTTTGCTATGGCACTGAGTCGCTAAATAGGGGTAGTTATCAGGTGGTTGCGACGCTACTTGTCGTTTCTCGACAGGAAACTGTCAGAACATCCAGAAGAGGTCCGAACCGGGCAGCCAGAGCCGAGCATTCCTTTTCCGCCTTTGTTCAGAGAGGGTTTCCTTTGAACATCACTTCCAGCAAAACTTGTCCTCATGCCAACTGGTCGTTGGGAAAAAGTCTGAGGGGGACGCCTTGACACCTGCCAAAAAGGAGGGACGCTAAGAAAGACACCATAATCGCCAGAAGCACAAAACGCCAAAGCAACACAACGGCCCATTACACGAAAGAACCACAACAAGGCAACCCAACACCAAAGCGCTCGAGAAGAGGCTGCTCGCCGCTCCAAGCACCCGTCTTGGTCGGTGTGTCGGGCGGCTCTTGGGCTCCAGGCATCCCAACGGCAGCCCCCGCCTCAGCATCTCAGCATCTCCGGACCTTTCGAGCTGCAGCTTATCCAGGTCCCCCAGTACAGTAGTGCCCTTTTTGACCCCCTTTTTGGTTGGGAGGGCTTCCCTACTAAAAAGAGACCACAGAAAAAAAGGGTACCCTTTCTCTAACCTCTCTTCTGGAGGACCTAGTTATGTTGTTTAGTCAATTTTCCCCAATACGTTAAGTTCGCCCTGCCTCTTTCTCCTCATCCGTCAGATGGGGTCAGCAGGACCACTCATGACGGTCAGATCTCTTGGTGTCTGATGCGCCATGCACTTTTTTCATTCGAAAGGTGCGGGGCGCACAGATAGGCTCCGGAGCATTTTGGAGCCGGGCTAGGGTTGCGGAGCTGTTATCGTCGGCTCTACCTTATTTCAAAGGCAACCTGATTAGAAGCTGGCTAATGATGAATGGTTTCTCTTGGACCAACCAAAACCGGCGGTCCCTAATTTCAATAGCCCGCAAGTTCCGGTTTCACTGAAAGCTCCGCTACCCAGAATCAGAACCCCTAAGAAGGTTCTCAGGGTGGAGCGGGGGGCCTACTTAGATGCTCCGGTTTTAGGCTAAGTGGTTTAGAAACCTGGTTATGAGTCACTTGGGGGACCATAGTAAGTGGTGTGTATAAGCATGGTTTCTCGGTATGTAACGAACCTCCAAACCATCTAAGTAGATTTCTCCCTATCGCAGGATTCTTGGTTCGATCTCCGTGCATGCATCGACCACCAAGGAGATGCTGCTGCCTGTCAGATCAGGCGCCCATACGGAGTTCGGGCAGAACAAATTAAGATCAAGCGGCAATACCCGGGTGTATGTGTGTGTGTGTGTCAAAGTAGGACAACCCCAACATGCGTGGTTGTCCTTTCCTCCTCCTTTTAAACAAGACCCATTTGGTTACACCCGGTCCTTGGTATGCAGCTTTTTGACGGTTTGGACTTGGTGAAAATACATAGGGGATCCGCCCCAAGCATTTGCATGGCCCCGCTCCAGAAGACAAGATTGGCTTAAAAAGCAGGCAGCGCCAGGACGCAATTGACATCAAGAAGTGGTTGTTGAAACACGATTGTTGGTACTCTACCGTTGTCGGACATATTGCAAGTTTGTTTTGTTGCTCTTGTTTGCGGTTCGCGGGAACCAACCAAAGGGTCAAATTTCTGCTCATTTGCAATGCAGTGGCAGCGTATAGCCTTAGCAAGACCTCCGTTGGCCCCCACACTAGCCCACTGATCCAGCCTTGTTCAAACATGGTGACACATTGGGTGTAGGCATGAACTGAGGATAGTTGTTTAGACTTGCGGTTTGAACTCGTCTTTGCTTTCTAGCCCAAACTTGGATGTATTCTATACTTTGTTGGTCCAACCATAAACGCTCAGGAACGGACTTCCTGTTTATGCCATTGAACATCAACGTGAACCTCCACAAATTGAACAAACAAGTCCATTTCCAAAAACCCCCCCCCCGTGGTTGATTTATACCCCCCCCCGTGGTTGATTTATACCTTGATCTCCATGTAACCGTCTGGCTCAAGGCCCTTTCTTGTACAAATTGCACCATTCATGCGATAGCTACATAAAAGGACTTATTGCAGGCCGCTTACAGTGAAACACTGTAATCAAAGCCACCAGGGACTATCCATCCTCTTATACTCCATATTGACATATTGGATTTCCTGCGGAATAGATCCAGGGACCACATATGCGATCCTCTACTACCACGAGGTATCCGTTCCCTTCTGGGATAAGATACCCCCGGCAGTGGGACTCAATTTGTGGTAGCGGAGCGGTTTCCGCAAAGATCCAGAAGCAATGTCATCCAATGGAGAAGGCTTCATGGAGGCCTATTCAAGTACAGCCCGATCATCCGGCTATACTGAAAAGACACTCAATTTGTCGATGACCGCCAAGCAGCCGCCATCGCACGAAGGAAAAGTCAGCTGGGTCAGGTATGAAGAACTCGTAGATGATCGGATAGCCTTCACAACGATCGAAGCGTCCAAGCGAGGGCCTCTCCTCAAGAGCAGACTCATTGGAAATGCTTACATGTACAAGGTAGTCCTCCAGAACGACCGTTTGCAAGATCCCGAAGAAGGAGTCAACTATTTCAAGAACACGCTGAAGCAGTACTTCCTGAAGGGTACCACGAACGTGTATCTTTACAGGCTCCTCAGTTTGTTCAATCACAGGAGGCAGAACACCAAGTTCCTCATAGTCACGTGAAAATTCGAAATCCTTCTCATGAGATTGAAGGCAGCCTGGATGGACCTGATGCCCGTATACACG